TCAATCTTAATAATCATCAAGTTCTGGAAGTGGGTTTTGGTGGATCCTCAGGATCGATCAGAACTGCTCCCAGTTCTGGAAGTGAATCTTCAGGATGGGCCAAGGGCAGTGTCAAACCGGATCTGGTCCATCCTGTGGATCCACCAAAACCCACTTCCAGAACTTGATGATTATTAAGATTGAATGTTGATAAATTATCAGGATTCGATCTTAATAACTTCAAAACGATATTATTAAGATTCATCCGATAACGTTATTATTTGAATATAGTTAATAACCTGATAAAAAGTTGATAGCGTTATTAAGATTCCATCATAATAACGATATCGAACGATATTTTTAGTTTATTACGATATCTTGATATAAAAAAAAATCGTGAGCACAGCTATATGTACACGCATCGAGCGTTGATTTTCATCCTCAGTTTCTACCACTTTGAATATCTGTCAGTTTTAATTTGGTGTGTTTTTATTTTTCTTTTTATTCAAACCGTGTTTCCTGTTCGAATAAGGCAAAGACCATTTAAAAGTTTTCATTGTTAGGTAAGCACAAAACAACCCTTTTTTCCTCCTTCCTTTGCTCGTCTTCTTCATTTATTCGATTTTAGCCGAAAGCGAGAAAGAGAGTTAGAGAAAAAGAGAGTGAGAGAATGAGAGGAGGAGAAGAATTCAAATGGAACCTATAATATCTTCACAAAAGTTAAAATGAGCTTCATACCAAACCTTAAACTATATTAAATACCATTTTACCATATACAGCATCCATTCAATCAGAATGTAATTAATTGGTTTACATATGTATGAGTCTAGTGTGTAAGTAATTTTGTAAATAAATTTAGGACAAAAATAAAAATATCTAGTTGTAGAATCTAGGCTATTTTCCATGCTAACAATTAAAGGGCGGATTATTTTCAGTGCATTTTCGAACATAGAGCCCCCATCGAAATGCCTGTAAATGATTTCGATCTCGCTTGCAATTGCTTTGCCATAATAAACGCATCGAATGTGAAGTTTTCCGATGAAATGCCAATACCAATCACCAATCAAAATTCACTTGAATCGTTTCGAACAAATCGATTTGTGCTCACACTCGTCAAGTACACTTGACAATTTCCTCTGGACACTTCAACATCAAGCGAATTGATGCTTGTTTATTGTGTGCCGAACAATGTAACATTGTATTTACATTTCAATTAATTGAACGAGCTGTTTCAAATGAAGTATGCACTTAGAATATGTTCATCCAATTGATTTGACGGAGACAGAAGATGAACAAGTGAAACAACAACAACAACAACAATTTTAATTAAATCAAAAAAACAACTATATTTATTCACAATTTGATTTTTACTTAATGTTTAAGAAATTTCTATTGAAATCAAAATATTGTTTGTTGTCTTTATGCGCATCACCATTTTTTTTAGTGTTTTCAAACATTATTGTTAGATGTAATTAAAAAAAAAGAAAAAAAAAGAAAATTTTCTTTCGATATAATGTAATATGTACGCTTGGATTTGGATGGATGCACTTGAAATGTGTTAAAAATTGTTTCCATTCTTTTCTCTCAATCAAAAATATTTTCCGTTTACAACTGGCAAAAATATATATCATGTGAAATATTCAGACCAACGAATTATTATTCAACAACAACAACATAGAGAACAAAGAGATATATTTATATCCATCCCACTACTAAGAGGAAGAAGGAGAACAACAACAAAGTTGTCTGTTCATAAAACTAAAATTAGTCAAAAGCATATGCCGTTTGCCGAACGGACATGTGAATTCAACTGTACTGTTATTTTGGCCACAAAATTCCAAATGTTATTCAATGCAGCTCTTTCTTTTTCGGGTGGATGCAATTAATGCAAAATGTTCAATTTAAATTTTTCGACGATGACGATGAAAAAAAAAACATTGAATAGGATTTGAAATTTTGTCTTAAAATTTATGATGTGAAGTCCCTAGTGACAGTATAGATGATGTAATTGCATTAAAGAACAGGAAAATTCTTCTTTTTTTCTTCCATGATTAGATTTTCAATGCGAACCCATTTTTGCGCCAAATAGATTTCATTTCAAAATAAATTGTTCGTAGTAAAGAAAAAAAAACTGGTTATTTTCTTCTAAATACTTGAAACAGGGTGTTATTTGCCAAAGAATGAGTAAGTATGTGAGATAATGAAAGAATGTAAGTTCCATATGACAGAGACCAGACCGAAAAACATCGAACAAAGACGAACAATTCGTTGTGTATCGCAACAACTTGTGTGTATACTCCGTACAGTAGCGCACATCGTTGCGCGGCTACCATAGAAACGGTTAATTGTAAACAAAAAAAAAACATAAATCCTCCATACCGAAAAGTCATAAGATAAACATAACTGTTGAGCTGTTGGACTATATATATGGTTTCTTTGAGTATTTTCACAACACACATATTCCGAGTGCAATTTTGGTTTCTGGTGTTCTTGATTCCATTTTTTTTGGTGCAAATATTAAATATGAGAACAGAAGATTGGTGGTAAGTTGTTCGGTTTGAAACGCTTTTGGAACCATGATATCACAACTTTTTCGTTTTTGATTAAATCAAATTCTTTTCCTGCTCACTGAACGTGAAACACGGTTTTTTTTCGCTCTCTTTTCCATAATACGCTATAGAGAAATTAAAGACGCAATAAAAGAAGAAGAAAAAAACGAATTGGTGAACGTATCAAATAAATAAATGTGAAAAATGGAAAATAATATCGTGTGTAATGGTCGATCGAATCCAGCAGTAATGTCAAATGCAGTACCATCGAATAAAGGTAAAAAAAGCTTCTCAATTTGTACCAAGTTTAAAGGTAAGGTATGTTTTGTGTCAGTGTCACTCCTATTTAATGTGATTTGCCATCAAAATCACTGTCTAATAAAACTGAATGAATTGCCTTTTGATATTTCAAATGTGAAATTGCAGAAAATTGGCCGATTCTTATATCTTCTTCTCCTTCTCCTCTGTATTCTTATTCTCTCGTTCGATTCAGATGCAAGGAGTAGCAATGGCAACAGCAGCAGTAACAGTAGCAGCAATAATACTAATCATACAAAGACCACCATTGATTTGGCTATGATACCGAATTTGAATTGGTTAATCCATATGGCCTTTGCTCGCCAAGACTATAAATACTGTAACGAAGCCATTGAATACCAATTCAGTGAAACATACGACCATGAATATTTGTATTATGTAAAGGTAAGAGACACACTGAGCTAAGCTATCTCGCACCTCGTCTGTATGCCTCCTTTGGAAGAGATGTCGGTCGGTCGATTGACGAACAAGATATTTGCTCCCCGTTGCAAGCACATACTATCTCGCTCTTTCATTTGCACGGCACACTTGCCGTTAATGTACTTGCTTGCTACATGCGATAGCACACAGATGGCAAATTAAATTGATTTATCGCAATGAACAGACAAATGTTCAAAACGTAACGGTCTTCGTGTCTGCCCGCGATTCGGCATGTTTCAGTGCAAGTGATATTTAAACAAATTGCTTTTTTTTCTCTCCATCTCTGTGTCTGTCTTTCTCTATCAGGGTTTAATAGCACGCATCGAAGGTAACTTACAAGAATCATTGCTGTACTTACAGAAGGCGATTGAATTTAATCCAAATAATCTTGACAATTTGAAAGAAATTGCAAAAACACTGTAAGTTCTTAGGTTTTTCTTGTTGCTATTTGCCTCAGCTATCTATCGCGCTCTCACTTGCTCGCGCGCTCGTTCAAGTTTAATCGAAATTAATTGTTTGTCTTCACGTGCGTACCAGATATGCCATGGAACGATACAAACAGGCCTTGGAAATCTTTGTGAAAATTGACAAAACATCACCGAACGGTGACCACGAAGTTTGCTATTACATCGGTATGGATTCATTTTTTTCCATTCTTTCTCTCATTCACTCAATAAATTCATTCGTCGAGATAAATTTCATTTTGATTTTCAATCAATTTTGCCTTTTCGACTCGTTTGTTTCATCATTTTTTAGGTGATCTTTTATATCGTAAATGCAATCGCATGCAAGTGGCTGTGTCGGACGAAGTGAAAGAGTACTTTACTCGAGCGGTTCGAGACGGCAAACAGTTGGAGAGTTATACACTGTTGGCCGAAATTTATAAAGCTGAAAATAATTTGCCCAAAGCGATTGAAATGCTCGAAAATATCACACAGTAAGTATGAACGGGATGTGTGTTTGAGAAAATTCTGGTTTCTCTGTACCTCCCCACCTCCCTACCTACCTCTTACCCTCTCTCTTCCTCTCTTTGCTCCAAATTGACCATGCATACAGCATGCATAATCTTTGGCAATTTTCTAGAATAACCACCGAAAATATCGACATTCTCACCGAAATCGGCATCCTATATTTACGAATCAACGATACAAAGGGAGCGTTCGATAAATTGTACGAAGTGACCAAATTACATGAAAACTGCTCGAAGGCATTGTTGGCAATCGGATCCATTTTGCAAGTATAATAAAACATTTCAAATTGCACAAATGTCAGGAAAATGAGACAGACAGAGAGTTTAAGGCAGAAAGATAACGAGAAATTTACATTCGATGATTTGGTTTCTCAAAATAAAAACACTTCCAAATGCAAAAATATGAACAGCAAATTGCTTCTGTTCGGGTTGTTGCTCTCACTCTTTCGATACCACAGCAAATGCATGCAAGGACATGTCCACGTTGTTTGAAAATCGCTCCGTAGCTAAACGGTTTTGGCGGGCAGCTGCAACGTTGCGCTTCAAACACAAAAAGCGCCATCTGCACATATTTGACTATGTATTTGTATGATGTGCCGTTTATGACCCAAAATTGAGCATCGATGACTCATCGATACTGATGACAGCTAGTTCACTTTGAATATGTGCAGATGGCGCTGTAAAATCGTTCACCACTGACAAACGTCAAATTAGTATGGAAAGAAGTCAATGTTGCAGCCTCCCGGGTTTTGGTTTCTCACACAGTTAATAAATTCAAATATGATGCTCGATCGATGCGCGTTTGAATATGTATTAAGTCGACTGATTCGTTTGTACTCTGAAAAAAACTGATGTAGGGTTATGTTAAACTGTTTGTGTTGACATTTATTTCACAACAAGTATTCAAAAAGTTTGTGGTGATTCGCGGTACTAAATATATTTTGAAAGTGGAAAAAAAAGTTAGAAATATATTTAGTACCAGAAATCACCATAATCTTTTTGAATTCTTGTTGTGAAATAAATGTCAATACAAACAGTTTAACATAACCCTACATCAGTTTTTTCAGAGTATAGGTGCAATTTCAACTTTGCAACAAAAACCTCTGTATTTCAACATCATACACACACACACACATTGTTCCTTTTGTGCGAATCCATTCGGTTGGATCGATGACACATTGATACACGCATACAAACCAATCAATCGACTGTGTTCTGGAATGTTCCATTCTGTTGTAATTTTGACATCGCTTCGAAACTGATTGAAGATAATTAATTTTTTTCTTCATTCCATATTTGTTAATTCGAATTTTGGTGAAGAAAAAAAAATTCCGCTCAATTTTTATATGAAAAATGTTTTTTTTTTGATAAAATCTAAACCAACGAATGTTACTCTCGCGCTACTGCAACCAATACAGAAGCAAATGTATTGTGTTGTGCATGTCTGTGGTTTCATTCGCTCAATTCGAATATTTTTCGTTCTGCCTCTCCGTATAATTCGCAAGGCGACGAATGCACACGTTTTGTGTTAAATACAAACTGGAACGCATATACTTTTGAGGGCCTCTCAACTGTCGAGTTCGATACTCACGACCGAGGGTAGCGACTGCAAGTTCGTACGTGTGCACGCCCGGCAGCTCCCGTGCTGAAGTATATGCGCTCTCCGTCGTAGGATTTACGTACTTGTGTACGGCGCGTAGAAGAACAAAAAAATTTTCTTCCGTTTTTTCTTCTCCATTCAAGTCGAAAAACGATGTCGATGGTGCGCTCAACAAGTACAAACTCATCGATGCTGAGAGTCAAAAGGGTGCTGAAATCTGGAACAATGTCGGACTATGTTTCTACAAAAAGAAAAAATTCATTGCGGTATTTTCAACTTTTTTTTTCTCTGTGGTTTTTGAAAAAAAAAACCAGAGCATTCGATTCGTTTCAATTAAAATTAAATTTGGTTTATTGAATGTCCATAGGCGATATCATGTTTGAAAAAAGCCGTGTGGCTTGAACCGACCAATTTCAATTGTTTATTCAACTTGGGACTGATCTATTTAACAGCACATCAGTTTGCAAGCGCATTCCACACCCTGGCTGCCGCTGCATGTATTCGATTGGATAACGCCGAATGCTATATGCTTCTCGGAAGTAAGTGATGAAAAGTGTTGAAAGCATCATATTAATCCATTCATGTGGATTTCTCGACATTTTTTCATTACGTCAATGACTTCAATTTGCTTCAATAAACATTTTTTTCTTGTTACAGTTTGTTTGCGAAATTTGAACGATCATGGAAATGCGTATTTAGCCTTCGAACGCTCCGTCATGCTACCGGATGCCGTAAAAAATCCATTGATTTATTTGAATTCTGCTGTATATAATATGCAAATGAAACGCTATGAATTGGCGGTTGCAAATATAAACAATTTCTTCAGTGTGGTCGAACACGTTAATGTTCGAAACGAAGTAAGGACCAAACGTTTGGTCACCAAATCTTTTGAGTTTAAGTGTTGAAAGTTGTTTGTGTGTCTCAAGCACATCGGCCTTTGCGCTTTACACGTTGTATGACATGCTTCGTTTGTACACAATACACTGAATTTGATCAAGAAGCCATTGCTTTCCAAATGCCGTACGCAAGCGATGAATGTCACACAACGTGTAAAACGTGTGTCTGATGTGTGCTCTGGGGTGTGTGTAACCATTTTGGAAATTTGTTAAAATTTGCTTTGTCTTTCGCAGTTCAAAGCGATAGCGGAGAAAATGAGAGAGTATTTGCCACAGCCCAGCACCTCAAACAGTCAAACCGTTGAAGTGGAGCATTCAACCGAACCAATCAGCAGTAACAGCACAAATGACATCGAAGGCGCTGGTGAAGCCATGGCCACACTTGATGAAAGAGAGAATTTAGTGTAGACGGACTTTTGTTTCGCTCGGTAGCGTTTTAGCCTTAGAATGTGATGTCAAACATGTGACCATTGTGATGAGTAAAAATGAAATGAAAGATTTTCGTGGTGTTTTTGTTGCTGTTGTTCTTGTTGCAAATTGTTAACTAAATGTCACGTTTTATTTTTGAGGAGAGGCGCATTTTGTATTTCTATAGACAAAACAAAATATTTATTTTCTTATAAAAAAAAGAAACATTTATGCATATTTAGGACAATTTTTTGTTTCATTAATTTTCTTCTTCTTCTTCTTCTTTTTTTTAAACTAAATACAACATTCAATATTTGTTCCGCTGTTCAATACCTATTCCCGATATTTACTCTTTGTGTTTCCTTTGCGACACAAATTTTTTTTTTCTTCTGTAATTCTTTTCTCTTGTTTTTCTCTAAATTTTAGTTGCTACTTTGCTTTCAGTTTTGTTATTTGTTTGTTTTCGGTTGTTTTTTGTCATCTTATTTATAATAGATTTTTATTAAAATTAATTAAAATACAACAAGGATCTTTGCATTCATTCTTTGTTTGTTTGTTTCATTTTCTTTTTTTTTCCATTGTAATAAGACACTACGAAAAATAATCTTAAAATTGATCGATGAAAAATCAGCAAAAATTTGAACCGAAAAAAGAAAATCGATGCAAGCGTTTCTTTTTCTTTTCTTTTTTCATTAAAAAAAAAATTATAAATCGATTTCAATATCGATGTTCACTTAGTTCGCTGATGTGTTGCTTCTCTGCTTTCTGAGAACAATGGGAGTGCATTGTTTTTGTGTTTGTGTGTGTGTGTGCGGTGAATTTCTCTTCACCTTAATACGGTCGCGTTTCGTTCATTTCGTAGAGAACTTGTGCGATAGTCCGGCTCGATTCCACATTGCTCAATGCAACGCTAGACAAATGTGGCTCATAATACCGCAGACATCTACAAAGAATGAACAACAAGACGACATTTTGTGAATTGTAGAGAGAGAAAAAAACGACAAAATATATTCGGAAAGAAAAATAGCTAAAAATAAGTGAGTAACACGACCTTTTGGCAAATGGATTGATTTCATTGATCACAACGAACGGAAAGAAAAAAAAAACAAGAGTAAAAAGACGAAACAATATAATCACATACCGTTTTGCCGATGTTGTATAATTTACCAGATTCCGTAGAATCAATGAAGCTGTCAATCTGATACTCTTCGTTACCGGACCTTCGTTCTCATCCTGAAACTGTACAAAACAAAACATTCAATTATCTCCGCCACTTGGTAAAACGAAAAACACACACACAAATGGATTTTCCACACTTACCATCAGCTCTTTGGGATTGATGAGGTCGATTGAGTGTCGTTTGATCGCTTGCATAGCTGCACTACTTCCAGCCGACAATGAACTGGTCGATGAGGTGGATAGAGTTGGCGATGCCGTGCCGGTTGTATTGTCACCAGAATTTGGTGGCATTGGTTTTTTGATAATGGTTACCGGTTGTGTAACGGTTGTTTGTGGCCCATTTGCGATGCGTCGCTGAACGGCCGTCTTAAATGAATCCAATGTTATGTGACGATCGTTGATGTGCGTCATGAGTGAGAATCGTTTGCGTGGTAAATTGTCACACAGATTTGGGCCCGGTCCCCATTGACAGTAAATGTCCGCATTTGGATCGATATTGTCGGGACAATGTTCGGCACATGCATGCAAATACACTTCATTTGCTGATCGGAATTTTCTTCTGCAAAAAAATAAAAAACAGAAATTCGTTTAATTATTTAAGAATGGATGAAAGTGGGGCGACAAAAATGCCACTTCATGCGAATGGATGGTTTGTGTTCCACATACCGTTGGCATCCCCGCCAATCGCACACATACAACCAATTCACATCGATTTCATCTTCGGCTTTCACTGGGACTGGTTCAACTTTGACTTGCGGTGACGGCGGTGGTGGTGGCTGTTGCTGCACCGGCTGCGGTGGTGGAATTGGTTTTGCTTGCGTTATAATCGGTTGCGCTTGGCTTGTTATCGTTGCTTGTGGCATGGACTGATGCATTGGAACATTCACGCTTTGCTGTTGAATCGGCTTGTGTATCAGCTGTGGAACAAAGTTCAATTTTTGTTCAGAAAACAAAACTTTGCACTTCAGGAACTTCAATCGATTTTCCCCCAACTGGTTTTTTTTTTATTCTTTTCTTTTTACTTACGTTTGATGTTACATTTGGCGTTACATTTTGTGGTACATTCGGTGGATGTGAGATGGGTTGTGAAACTTGAGTGACCTCAATGTTTCCGCTTCCGGTTACAAATACCTTCTTCTTTTCGCTGGTTGTGATTACATTTGGTGACACCGAGGCTGGAGCATGCGACACCGAATTCACTGCTTTTAATACAAAAAGTACGAAGGAAATTAATACTTGAATTATGGTTTTCCCAATGGCGAAAATCAAACAGTTTATTTTCCCATTTTTCTCATGAAACCTCTGAAATGCCATACTGGATTTCCGTAGAAAATGAGCAAATAAACTGGGTATGTGTTTTTTCTTGTTTTTGGAATGATGTTCAAAATATGTTTTTATTCAATTGGACCGGATTGATTCTAATTCTTAATAATTAAACCGAACCATACCTCTCATGTGCGATACAATTTGCGGTTGTGAGTTTGCACTCATTGGCGTACTTGTAACTTGATTGATAATCGCATTTGTCGACGGCATTTGCGGATTGGACTGTATGACATTAGCACCGGCTGTGTATGATCAAAGATTATGTTTGGATATTTAAAATCGAGACATTCACATTTGGCACCACACAAAGGTTGTGCGATTGAATCAAAATCGATTCGAATATCAACAATTGAATGGATTCAACTAAGTAGCGACTAGTTTTTATTTACCATTTCCACTGTGTTGATTGACAATGACGTGATGCTGGCGTGGTACTTGCGTCACAATCATCTGTTGGCCCTGTTGAGTTGTCATGATCATTTTCTGTGGCGTTGATACTGTAACCAAAAAAATCAGTTGAAACATTCCCGTAATCAATAACCACAAAGATCCTCAATGAAAAATGATTTTGGAACATACCTGTATTCACTGCTGTTGGTGTTTGTTGTTGTAGGATAATGATTGTTTTGGTCGGTGCTCCTCCTTGTTGTTGAGATGTTTGTGTCAACAGAATTTGATTGACTGGCGGTGGTTGCTGTTGTGCCACTAGATACGTTTGACCTTGTTGATTGGTCGCCAGCATATACTGAGTTTGTGGCTAAACAAAAAAAAATTTTTTTTTTCCATTTTTAGACATTGAATTCAAACGAAAAGGAAAAAACATGGGACAAAAAAAGCGAATGAGTTTTTTTTTTCCTTACAACTGGTTGATGAATGATCTGTTGACCAATGCCACCGATTTGTTTCTGGATTTGAATGTTGCCCATTTGCTGGTTGCCATGTTGCAAAATCATTGGCACTGTTTGGTATGCGCCATCAGCGGTTTTGATTGTGGCTGTTGGCTGGCCCATTTGTTGATTTTGTGTTGGTATCATCGTACTGATCATTTGAGATCGAGCTATTTGATGAAGGAACAAAAATAATTTTGTTTTCATTTAGAAAATTCATGGACCTAAATAAAGGTGAGCGGAAGGTCATCTGCTTAAGCGAGAATATCAAATGACATTTACCATTATTGGGTGAGACGATGATTTGTCGTTGCATTGGCACTGTAATCACTGATTTTGGCTGTTCAACTATTGTCGACGTTGGAATAATGGTTTGTTGTGGTGGTGGTGGTGGCGGCTGTTGTGTCGGCTGTGCAATTGTTTCGTCCAATTCCATGTCTTCGTCTTCAAGCAATGATGCCGCCAATTTAGCGTACAAATTTGCTGCCGACGATGATGATTTCATGGCTTGATTCTTTTTATCAATTGAATTGTCATTCTCGATGTAATTGATTCGTTTGATTGGCGGTTCATCGCCAGTTGGATTGGCATTTGCGTCGATTTTTCTCTTATTGCTTATATCGCCTGAAACATTAAATGGTGGATCAGACGATTTTCGGTCTAGTAAGTCTGCAAGCATTTTATTTGCAGTGACAACTTGAGAATGTTTGCCAGCAACAACAACATCTTTACCATCATCATCGATTTTCATATTGCCCGGAACTAATAAGCCTTCAAAGCCAGCAAACGGACTTTCCGACTCATCTTGACAACTCGGTGTCGTTGGATTCGTGCCATATCTGTGAATTGGATTTTTATTTGGAATCAATTTTGGTATTTCAATAGATTTTCCGTTAAAAAAAAATTTTTCATTCAAAATAAAAAGCAAAATGAGAAGCGTTTTTCTGTGTCTCAATTCAACATATTTCTCTACTTACAAACTGGAGTTGGCTGATTGGCTGGTCGAATTCGAATCATCGTCAACTTTTGATGGGCTAACGGTTGGCACGGGTATCGAGGTGATGATACTTGTTGGCCGTATGCTGTTACTACTCAAAGGCGCTAACGGTGGAACTGGATCCCAATACGGTTTATTGGCTTCGAGCATTGCTTCGGCCTTCTTTTCGATGATTGTGGCCGGTATCAGTGTATTTCCAGCGATGGCCGCTTTCATATTTGGCGGCACTGGTCCCGTTGGCGTTTTTATGACTATTGTAGTCTTTGGCTCCTTTCCTATGCTCATATTTGTCACATTTATCGTTGTGTTTCCTGCTGCCGCCGCCGCTGATGCTGCTGCCAATTGAGCTTCTCTTTGCTTTTGCAAGTGCTGTCGCTGCGCAACCTAACATCCGAAACATTTCGATTCATTAATTTATGCTTCCAATTTAATGATAATTTTACATTAGATTTTTAAACAACACTAAACAAATTCTACAAATTATGAGTTAGATCAATATTGCTTTTTGTTTGTCTAATCGGCTTTTTGATTCGAGATACAGCAAATTTCGCAGTAAATTTGGTTTAGGGCTACGGCATTTAATTTATTCACAACGGATTGGATTACTTTGGGATGCATTTTGCTACGGTTCAACATTTCGGAAGCGACAATCGATGATAAGCGTCCGGTGTTCGGACTTTCTTTTTAGTACAATAATAATATCACACGCATCGCAGTTAGTTAAAAGAATTAATATGTTGGCTCGAGAAGAATTTCACTCGAATTACTTACGACATTTTTTTTTGGTAAAATTCGCTTACCTTTTTCGTTTCGTTTTGAAACACATGTCAATTGTGTTTTGATTTTAAAAAAAAATTCTCAAAATTGATTTTGATCAAATTCGAATTTCACGCGAAATTGTTTTGTTTTTCTGTTTTTAGATCTAAGGAAATCGTTTTTAAGTTCAAAATTCGATCGATAATCGACTTTTGGTAGGAGTTTTTTTTCTTTCTTTTCAAATGGATTAACTATTCAAAACTTAACTAAAACAAAATTAGTTGTAGTTAGTTCAAATCAAATGTTACCTGATGCACATTCACATTGCTAGTAGCGGAAATAATACTAGGATTTATCGATTGTTGAACTAGGTTCGTTGTTATGTTCGGTGTGCCAATCACAGTACCATCAACGGTCGTTACCTTATTGGCCAGAATTGCTTTGATTAGTGACGATGATGAGGTGCCGCTTGGCGATGACGTAACGATCGATGGTGCGGATGAGACAAGCGTTGAATTTGTTGATTGTCGAATGTTTGTGCGATTTGGTGTCATATGCATGTGATCGGTTTGATTGGTGCTCAATACTTGTTGCAGGATCGGTGCCGATGACGCGTTCATTTGCTGAATCAAAAACGAAAAGAAGGTAGAAAAGGTTATTTTCAAACATTTGATTCAACTCACTCCATCGGTTATGAATAAAAATCTAATTTTGTTAAGAAAAAAAAAGTATTCAAAATTTACCGTTTGATTCATGTTGGTCTTTTGATTTTGCATCATTGATGTTTTAATTATCGTTGGCTGCTCCTTTTTCACAGCATTGTCTGGTGATTTTATTGTCGTTGTGGTTACAGCCGCTTGCTGCACAAAATCAACACAAAATACATTTAGTTAAAATGAATGCAGTTCCGTAGAGAGAGAAAAAAAACCTTAACTTGCACTTACCAAGATGGTTCCTTTGTGAACCACAGCCAACGGTTGAGCACGTATACGAATACCTTCGTAGAAGCATGATGAGATTGTATTTTGTTTGATTTTGATTTGATTGGGTCCGACCGTGTTGCCAAATACGTTTTGAACACATCGTGGGAAATGATGATGTGACACAACGCCCGTTCGACCGATTTTCGAGCAAGCGGTTAAGTACATTTTATATAAATCCTGTTGTTCAATACGTGACGCTACCGCACTGGCCGGCTCAAATGTGGCACGCAGCCAGGCCAATGCAAATTGTTCGTTCTCTTGATCTTGTGCAAGTTTCAGGGAATTTTGATTTTGTGCCGTTGACGTGTGAATGGTAATTGTTTGTTGCTCCGAATAGACGACATTTGAACTGGTTAGGAACGGCGGTGCAACGGTTGTCACCGTTGGCGATGCTGTTGTTTGCGTTCTTACCGTTATCGGTGTACTCGACACTACAACCATTGGCTCTGAATTCGAAAAATTCGTTTGATTAATCTTGATCTCTGGCTTCACTTCGACTCGTGGAGTTTGTGACCTTGGCACCGGTACCACTATCGGCGTATGTTGTACGGTTGGCGTTGTCGGAATTGTTGACTGTACAATTGTCGGAGGTGAAGATGGTAAAGACGACAACGCTTGGTGAGACTGTTGATGATGATGCTGCTGTTGTTGTTGCTGCTGCTGCTGTTGTTGTTGTTGTTGTTGTTGTGGCTGCTGCTGCGGGTGATGATGATATTGCTGCAGTTGTGGCTGTTGCTGCGGCACCACCGATTGTTCTGAAGATGAAAAACAATCGAGCATTTTAGAAGTTAAATCTTAAGTTTATTTTAATAATTTCCTAATGTTCAGACTTCAAATTGGACAAATAAAATAAATGGAAATGATGCAAACATACAGAGGAATTTCAAGATCGAGTTGACGCTTCTTTTGAAGCTCGTCAACAAAATTTCATGATATTTACCTTGATTTGTGGCAACATCAACTGGTTGCTGTGGGATAACTGGAGTGGGTATGGGTTTTTCTATTCGAATCGGTTCATTTTTCACTTCAACTCGCATTTCGACCGGGTTACGCTCTGGCACATGAATAGTTGATGGTGAACTTTGAAGTTGTGTCATGACTGGCTGTGATGGAGCATGCGATTGTTGTTGAAAGTTGTGATGATGCGAATGATGACCTTGCTGTTGTGATACTAACGGTGTTGGCACTGTTTCAACAACACGCATCAGAATGCATCCATCAGGACCGTAGCTTTGTGCTTCGACCGACACCAGCGAAACTAGTGTATCTATAACGCCGTTGATTTGAACTATAGCAAAGCACGCTTTCTCACCCATCGATGACAGTGCAAATAAACACTCCAACGTGTAAAGCAACAACATAATATCGTTCAATGATAAATACATGCAAATCTGCCGATAAACACGCTTATCGAGGTATTTATGTAAATGATCTTCGTTCGATCCCTTTTGACACAATTTATACAAAATTTCCAAACAACTGATAATCACTCCACGATCCGGACTTTCCAGCCCTTCGGCAATGGTGGTAAGTAAGCACTTTGTTAAACTGTCATTGTTTGGATCGCACAGATCCAATTCGGCGGCAATATTACCGAGTGTATCCAAGCCCATTTGATGTAAATTTCCCCATCGGATATTTGAGCACATTACCAAAAACCGTACAAACGTGCGATTTTTCACAATGGTCGGTAGATTTTCTTCGAAAAACGATAAATTCCGACAGATCGTTGACACTTGATGTACACGTTGACCGATATAATCGTGCGTACCCAAGCCTCGTTTCAAATTCAAAAATTCCAACGATGTGAATTCGTTGAGTTCATTCGAACGTGTGTTCAGACCATCTTCAAATGTTTCCATGTCATTGTTCCTCAGCCGAACCGGCGGTCGTCCCGAAATATTGCTCGTCAAATTTTCATCCACTTCGAAGTAATCTTCATAAGTTAATTCCATAATATCCGGTTTATCGTGCAAACAATCATTCCAAAACGATTGCAACGAATGCTTTCGCACATTGGAATAATATTCAAAGAATAAATCTCGCATTGAATCTGGAACGAAAAAAAAAAATTGTTTGCTCATTGATTTCATGTGAATATGCAATGCTTCACGAAAGAAAAAAAAAACGAAACTTACGATGTGAATAAACGCCAGCATGACCCATGAGTGCATCAAGTAATTTGGGGCATCGTTCGACTTTGAGCGTGTGCCGACTTTCATTGGCCATTAGCGTGCACACATTCACGGCAAAATCTTGTTCGTTTGGCAACGGTGACATTAACGACATCAGCAATCGTTCATACTCGGATGATTTGTACAAATCCGTGGACAGCTTATGCGTGGCACGCATACTTTCGGCGACGTTATGCTGTAAATAGTTGTATTTCATTGGAACATCGTTGAAATGTTTATTGTTCCATTTCTTATGGCGATTATCTTCATCCGTTTCGTCAGCAATTCGATCATTGTCTTCGCCAAGAAAATGAATTTTCTCATAACGATCTAAAAATCGCATATAGATTTGCTTTAACGCCACCGATGCATTCACACATTTGCTTGGCAGATCAAATTCAGGTACTAAATCCTCCCATTCATTTCGGTAATTTATCTGTAAACGAGCACGAAAAATGAAGACAATGCTGACAATGAGAAACATTTGCTACAAACATCGAAATGCCAATTTGTGTTTACCTTGGCCCATCCGCCGCGACTGCAAACCAATGAATAGAATTTATGTAGATCGATTTCATGGCCATTTACACGAGGTGCCCGTGGGATTGGTGTTCTGCAACAAAGAGAAAGGAAAGAAAGAGTAAAAAACAAAAGTCTACCATTGAATATCTTGCAGGAAAAAGATGCTTGTGCTGGGTTTTGAGGTTCATATCGGGTCATATTTACCCTTTGACTTCGTGAAAATGGTATAAATCCTTGTAGAAGCTGGCTTTGTCGCGCTCATCAACAACGGCAGTAGTGGTGGCGACGGTGATTGGGTTGGCGGCAACAGCGGTGCGATTCGTTGGTGTTGCTTGTTGTGGCGGAAAATGTTGTACATAATGCTTTTTTGTTGAACCGGTTTTCGAAGCACTGCTCACTGAATCGTCGTTCACCGATATGGCTAGTGGTGCACCAGCTGTCGTATCTGTCGTAGTCATACTTAAAATTTAACAAAATTTCTCACACACAAAATAACCACATTAAATCGAGCCTAAAATAACGCACAGTATCGCGACACTAAGTGAAATTCCAACATAAAAAAAAAACTTTTGCTCTGCTGCTACTGCTGCTGCTGCTGTACAACTTTTGTTTGTCTGCTCGATTCGCTCGTTTGACAGTTAGCATCGCGTCACTGCCAATGAAGTTAATGGCAGCAGTATACGGGAACGAAGAAAAAAAAAACTTCGCATGAACGTACTAGATTCCATAAATGCTTCTGACAGCTGCACGGGCCAGAAATATTCTGAATGCTATTGCATGTATGAATGAATGGTATTGGAAGCGATGTGAGGTTAGGCTGTTTTCTTATTTCTTTCTTTTTTTTTGCTTGATTCTTTTGTATCTAATTCGTTCGACATTTCCAAAAGGTGGATTATATTTTGAAATTCTGCTTGTATACAGAATCGGCGGTAAAAAAAATTTTTAGAGGGAAAATATCAACTAAACGTTCATCAAATACACTCAAGTGCTGCACACCAAACACCTTTCTAAATGATTGATGCTTTGTTTGAGCGATTGATTGCACGCGAAAAGCAAAAACAAAACAACGGACTGTATCATTTTGAATGGCAGTCTATTTTCAACCAGTATTGAGTTTATGATTTTCAGCCAATTGTTTTTCCGCATATTTCAACCATTTGCATTTGAATAAATAATTAATAAGCAAAACATTTTTCTTTCAAAAATCTTCTTTTCTCCATCAGTTCGGTGATGGATACACGTTTTGCGTATAATTTTGAATGAATCTAACAAAAAAAAAATGGTAATATCGTATGTTTACACATTAAAGGGCAATGATACGCGACCGAGAATAAAAAAAATGTTAATAAACTTTCTTTGACTAAAAACGTCATAATTGTTCCGAATGAAAAACAAATATTGATTGCTTTTCTAAAAATAATTTAAAATCAATTAAAGCTTCACACATACACATGCCTAGCGCATCAAACTTCTAAAATTGTGCGAGTGAAAGGATTTTAAACGCATTGATCATCTTATATAATTCAAATATGTATAGACGAAAATAACAAAATATCGGAGAAAAAAAAAGAGTTGCGTTTTGATTCTTCTTTCACTTTCATCGCCGACCGCGCGCAAATGCCGATCGAGGTCAAGAAACGAATGATTCGTTATTGATTTATCACATGACACAGTTTTATGCGCTGCGTTGGAATGATCATATTGCGATGATGAGCTTTACCTGCTCGGATTACAAATTTGGCGATGATACCATGGGCCATTGACAACATATGATGGCATGCGTGCGCGAACGAAAAATGGGGGGAATGACAAAAATATTTTGTTAATGAACTCTTTCTTATGACCATTTGCTACTCCTGTTTTTGTCAAATGGGCAATATTTTCAGTACCACCACAAAATCCGAAAATCACCGAGCGATTATTTAAATCTTTATCTGGCTGGATCTTCTTCATTACCGTTCATTTGTGATTCGAATTCAGATGTGAATAGGTTGAGATTGATTTGAACAGAGTTTGAATTTTGTTTTCTGTTTGTTTTGCAAAGTGACCGTTACAATCCGAGTTTTCTTTTGTGCGAAGTGATTGTGTTTTCTTCTCGTTTTATTCGTTACTCGCCGAATTGTGTTCATTTTTCATCAAAGATGTGGTGCAATTCAAAAAGTTTTATGTTGATGCTGATGACATTATTGTTTACATTAAAAACAATTAGTGCCGCTGAATATTCGAATTCAACGGCTTTATCGACCGTTCCCGATGATGATTTCTACGGAATGCCAGTGTTTTATAAATCCAATACACCAATCAAACAGTTTCTAAGCAAATCGCAAATGAGCAACCATATTCAAGAGATTCTTGAACCATTGTCACCGTACATTATCAGTGATGATCGAAAAGTTGCAATTCGTAACCGTCGACAGGATGGTGGCGCACAATTCTTGGGTGCTGCACTACCACCACCAGAAATCGTTCAAGTTGAGGAATACAAATTCGGATATATTGCCGCCGCTGAAATTGGAGACTACACATTCAGGTGAGACCAGAAGCATCATTTATGAATTTGAGTGAATTAGTAAATTCTCTGAAGAATCTGAGTGCGAACTTTCGCTTTCGGGTGAAAAAAAAAAGGAAAAAGAAACCAAATGTGTTGATCGGCTGATGGTTATTAATTACAATTGTGATTATTTTTGAATTGTCATGCGTCGACTTCCCATCACTTTTTGCACCATTGACTCATTTGAGCTTGTGATTGAAAAAGAAAAACAAATTATGCAAAGTGATAGTAAAAAAGAATGGGATAGCATGGACCTATGTCAAATTGTATGACATTCCAAATAATTACATTACATAAATTTAGTAATCACATTACATAAAATAAATTATGTGAATTGCCATTTCTGTGACTCGTACGCACAGGAAGGTTCAATTGAACCTGATTACCATAATCACTACGGTTGGATCAGTAAACGATAAATGGGACACTTGTCTGTATGGTTACTTAATTTATCTGTCCAAACTCACTTACTTTTCAATCATCATCCATCTCAATTAATTCAAACAGATTAATTGTGTGATAATCAGTGATTGTTCATCACCTGACCGCTGGAAAAACCTTTTTTTCTTCTTTCGAATTGACATGTGATGGGAAGGAAAAGCGAGGTTAAGTTTGAAATGAAACAGCAAAATATTTTAACGATATTTTTTCGCTAGTTCTCATGGTTAAAAATCATTCCACATCGAAACGGTTTCATTTAATGCGATAGAGATAGTATTGAAACCAGATGAATGATCAGCTATTCGATCCTTTTTTTTTTTCTTCAAGCAAATCAATTGAATTGATTGAAAAAATCGATTTATTTCATTAGCATAATTTCGATTGTTTGAAAATCTCTTCCTTATCACCATTTGCCACTAGATAAAACATGTAAAATGGTGAATTAAAAGAACGCATTGTTCATTCAACTGATAAGACATTATTTATTATATTGCAACTGATAATTTCTGAATTTTTTTTTATTTGCAGTTGTAAACAAACCAATGGTGATTTGATGATCTTTAACCCAACACTCCCGATGGCTACCCAATTGCGATCAGTGCCTGCATTTACAGAATTCCAAATGCATCCACGTCCAGGTGTTTGGTGGTGGGTGATTTGTGTTACATTCGAAAGTGGTGGCGCCGGCATGGGTGTTAGTAAGTAACCTCCAATTTGTCCTATACATTTTGTTTCACCGAAGAAATGTCTTTGTTTTCTACCTAAAACATTCGCTAATTTTTTTTTGCTTAACTTTTTTTTCAACTCAATAGCTGGTGCACAAAAGCCGGGTGGTGACCAGGGTATTGACCCAAATGCATTGAAATCATTGGTTGGATAAATTGATCCTGCTCTCATCGCCAAAAAGATGCGCAAAATGACAGAAAAAAAAAAAGAAATAAAATATTGACCTCATACTATTTAAAACCATAGCAAGCTAAAACTCTATTTAAATATTTAAATTATTTTCATTGATAATAATTTAATCATTTTACCGTTATCTAGTATTATTTTATGTGTTTTGAAACGGAAGAAGAAAAATGCAATTTTTTTTCTTTTAAATTCATTTCACTATGCATACCACACCAAAACAAAAAGAAACATATGTGTAAAGAAAAAGCAAAAGATCTATGGACTATGATGAATAAATTAGCAATAAATTGTCACGAAAGTGCGAACAGCAAGCAAATGTGTCTGCGTTTATATTTATCGAATTAAGATAAAATGTATCAAAAGGTTAAAAAAAGAAAAAGTGGTAAAAGTGACATTGGGAGAGTGAAAGAAGAAAGATATTTGTTTTGGAACAAGAGTCACATCTTTCTGTTTTGGGAAATTTTCTTCTTTGATCATCTGTGCGATACGATTTATAGTTTCACCGGCAAGATGGCTTATATATTGCCAATGCGAATATCGACTGCATTGTTGAATATTTGATGGGCTTTGTGTCGGCAGTAAACCGTTAGAATCGTGATTGTTGCTGTAGCCGTTGTTGTCGGTCGGACACGAGAAATATTGCAAGGATATGATTTTTTTTTTGCTTCATTTTTCAGTACTAGATTGTGCAGCAGTGCGTTACCTCTGTATGCGTTTAAATGGGAATCCAAGTTACTACATGCACGCATAAACAATTCGACACCACTCTTACTCACTCACACATACACACACACACAACGCGCGCTCACTCATCCAAACACGGGAATCCTATCACTTTTTTCCCTTTTTCGGATAACCGTTCCAATTGCATGGTTCGCTCTCTCTCTCTGTGTTTATTCCCCCTTTTTTTGCAGCGATGATTTGTTTCAATGTACGTTGTGTGCGTGTAATGAATGTCAACAAATGGCGTCAGTCTCATCACATCCTTTTGTGTTATAGATTCATCCATTCATTCATTTCAGCCCGTAAATTGTTTCTTTGAACATTTTCTCCGTTTTCCTGGCGAAATTTGTTGTCTTCTTTATATGTTTGCTTGTTTTTCTCACGCGAAAGAAATCATTTTGTGAACGAAAAGCAAAGGTAAAAGCAAAAAGGATAATTTTGTCAATGTGATTTGTTTGGTGTTGGTTTTTCCACTTAGTTGTCTTACTGGAATTGTTATAGGCCTGAAAAATGAGATACAATATGTAGTGTGATGTAGATGAGTTCTATTGATAATCACCGTGGGAGATACATAGCCACACCGAGATTTCTTCGCTTGTTCTTTTTTGTTCGATTAGTTTAATGAGATTTAACGGCAAACATGCAAGCAAATCGATTACATTTTGGAGTCGTTCTTTTGATTTTACTCATCAAGAACGTTGAAAGTGATGACAATTTGCCGAAATTTAGTGACACAACATATGAGTTAATTGGATATTGTGTTCCATACCATGGTAAGGTATGCAAATCGTACATAACATACGATCAGGTGTGGTACAGCAATGTAAGTAAACGAAACCGAATAAGTTGGCATAATCGGTATGGGATTGGATGGAAATGAACCGGTGACTCATTGGTTTCGTTTATTATTTGATTTTGCATGGTTCAGGAGGATCCGGACGACGGTTGGAAAAATGAACAAATCACTACCAATCTATGGGATGAATTAATCAACGAACTAACGGGATTATGCCGTGTCGCAGCCGAGGTAAATATTTGACAACCAAATTGAAAACATAAAATGGAATATCAGAATAAAGTCATAGACATAGTTCTACTCAAAAAAAAAAAAAAAATCACAAACCTAGCTGTGTTTAATTGAAGTCATCGCATCAAAAGTGTGAAGTATGTCATGAATTGCGATTCAGGACGAATGTTCTGTGCCACATATTTGAAAGAATACAAAAATTAGAGTGAAATTTCCTACACAAAACATAAAAAATACCCTTCAAAACGTTAACAATATGTGAATTCTATTGATTTTGTTTGTTCATTAGAAATTGCTGTGTGCATATGCCTTTCCAAAGTGCATCATCAAAGATGGTCGCTCAAAAATGCTGCCGCTATGCTACGAAGACTGCATTGCCACACATCAACAGTTTTGTTATAATGATTGGATTTTACTAGAGGAGAAACGTGATCGTGGCATGCCATTGAAAACACGAGGCCATTTCCGATTGCCCGACTGCAAAACACTTCCGCGTCACAATAAATCGGCCGAAACTCCAACATGCTCATGGGTCGGACTCACTGAAATGAATCCAGAAGATGTCACATGTAAATATCATCAAAACTTTCTTTCTCTTTTCATTTCGAATGATGATATATGTTTGATTTAATTTGAATAAATTAGACGATTGCCGCATGGGCAACGGTCGCTATTACATGGGTCAGGTGAATGTGACCAAAACTGGAATTCCATGCCAAAAATGGGACTCACAAAAGCCACACACGCATATTCAGCCACCGAAAGTGTTTCCGCAAGTGAAAAACTCCGAAAACTACTGCCGAAATGCTGGCGGCGAAGAGCCAAGCCCATGGTGTTATACAATGAACGAATCGGTTCGATGGCAACTCTGCGATATTCCGTTGTGCCGTAAGTGTTAGAAAATCAGTGTTTTCGTTTCAATGTATGGGCTTTTTTCTATCATTTCACCAATTGACACTTGATTGATTTGGTTTAAATAATTTTGTGTTTAAGCCCAGAATCAGTTCATTTGTTTTAAATTCATGAAAAACAACGAAAAAAAAAACATTTCTCTTTTTTTTTCTCAACTTTCACCATTAGCAAATTCGACCGATACTTCTGTCACGCACATGCCACCCATTGCGATGGAAACCTTTTTCACACCGTCAATGGTATTTCTATTGGGTGGAATTGGATTTGTTGCTATCGTGGTGCTACACTTGTTGGTGCTGCTGTGTTCCAAAGTGACGCGATACAATCGAAATCGGAATCGAAACCGTTTGGTCAGTGGATACAGCCAGTCGGAAACGCATGACAATCCAGTGATTGATTTGAATAAAACACCGATCCACAACAATACATCTACGCTCAATCAGACACAGTATCATGACAATGATCCGAGTATAAATCATAAATTGGAGAAGCTGGAATATCCGCGGAATAATATCATTTATGTAAAAGATTTGGGACAGGGTGCATTTGGGCGTGTGTTCCAAGGAAAGGCACCACATTTATTGTCCACAGAGGATTTTACAATGGTTGCCGTTAAAATGCTAAAGGATGATGCAAGCAACGAATTGCAAATGGATTTTGAGCATGAAGCATGTTTGTTGGCCGAATTCAATCATCCGAATATTGTGAAATTGCTTGGGGTGTGCGCAGTGGGTAAACCAATGTGTTTGCTCTTCGAATACATGTCGCGTGGTGATCTCAATGGATTTTTGCGTTCATGTTCACCGTATGTACCACAACCGAATGTCACCTATCAATCGAATCGCGAACAACTTTCACATCAGCACCTTCTGAACTTTGCGCATCAGATCGCCGCCGGAATGCTGTATTTATCAGAACAGAAGTTTGTGCATCGCGATTTGGCCACACGAAACTGTCTCATCGACGATAGTATGACAGTGAAAATTGCCGATTTTGGATTGTCACATAAGATTTACATGCAAGACTATTATAAAGGTGATGAACGTGATGCGATCCCAATTCGATGGCTGCCATTAGAAAGTATTCTATACAATAAATACACACTTGAATCGGATGTTTGGGCTTTTGGTATAGTGCTGTGGGAAATTTTTTCATTTGCATTGCAACCATACTATGGGATGACACACGAAGAAGTTGTTAAGTATATAAAAGAGGGTAATACACTGCATTGTCCGGAGAATACGCCGCTTGTGGTGTACAATTTGATGCGCCGGTGCTGGAATCGTAAACCATGCGATCGCCCGAATTTTGAACAAATTTTCCAAGCAATCGGACAAATTCAATACGATTACGAACATCAGCCAGCTAATCGCTGATAAAACCAATCTCAAACCCATTCTTATCGAACATTTCTTTGGTTTTTTTTTTCTTTCTTTTCTTCTCATCGACCGTTTGTGAATAGTCTTCAATATCTTGTTTCAGAAATTAAACTAAAAAAATACTCTCATTTTCATCACAACATCAAACTCATACATGCATGTGAAACGAAAAACACATTTTTTTACTATCTTAACAAGAGCTTCGGTACTTTACAGCACCGAACACAACAACACATAAGACTCAAATACTCAGGTGAAACAACAAAAAAACGAGACTATTTCAAATCGAAATTTTTTTTTAATTAAAAAAAAATAATAACAATGAATAACGTTTTATTCACATTTACCGAAATTCAACGTTTTTTCTAATGAAAAATAAGCTCATCCTATATCACACATATTCGATAAACTATCTAGTCACATGAACCAATCTAGTTTTTTTTGTTTCATTTTAAAATTTCAAATTCATTTTTTTTTTAGTTTTAAATTCAGTTATAACAACGAAGCGTAGATTTTAAGTTTATTTCTAGCCAGACAAATGCAGTAGAAAAAAATGCAACAACAAAAATAATTGGGAAAATGAGCAGCAAATGATGCTTGAAAAGAAATGGTTTCTTATCGGAAAACAAAGCAAAAATTCAAACAAGCATCCAAAAATTTGTATTCTTATCGATTGATAATGGCAAGCTAAATCCAAACAGCAAAAAAAAACAGAACAAACATTCAACTAAATAACAAGACTTTGTCTAACATATACTATCTTTTTTAGTAGTAATTTATCAAAATGATCTGTAGTTTTCTCTCTCAGTAGTCTCAGTTTATTCTCCCAGAAGAGCCGCAGTGAATCAAAAACCAAAAATTCAACGAGATTGCATAACATCTCCTCCAAATATCATGCTGAGAAATCTATTAGTTAATTAGTATAAGCAAAACAAACAAAATAAACGAACCGAAAAAAAAAGAAGAAACACATAATAACATCGATGACGAGATAAAGACGAGACAAAGACAAATTTGGTCAAAATGCATGTCGAATAATTTATTGAATGTCAGCATACAATGCAAGGCTAATTTCGACAATGATTTAGTCACTCTTATCTCGCATTTATCAAATTATTATCGTGAATAATCATTTTCTTTTGTAAACATCCAAAACAACAACAACAACAAAAACATATTGATTAACCCCTATGACAGCAATAAAGAATTTTTTTTTCTAAATTCATATCAACCTACTTTAATCGCATTATTTTACTCATTTTAATTTGTGTCAATGAACGAAAAGGAAAAAAACGGTTGTGGTATCGTTTTTTTTTTTTTTTTTACTTGTTCCATTTTTTTTGCATTATTAATTCACTTTCAAATTGACAGAGACCTTTCCATTTCCATCGGATAGCTAATAATCAATAAGTTATTTTTAGTGAGGATGAGCAACATTGTTATTTTTAGCCATTATTTTAATAAATGAGCTGATTTTTTTCGTCGTCTTCTGATAATAGATTCAAATGTGCCGAGTTATGGTAGGTATTGGTCGTTTGAATGGAAATCGAAAGAAAAAAAAACGAATGAATCATAACTAAGTAAGTATTCGAATTATGTCAACGTTAAAAAAAAGTTGAATGAATGGGTAATTTTTTGAAATTACATGACAATTTCCTTACTCATCTCATGAAAAGAAAAATCAATATTTTTCTCTCAATCATTTTTTTTCTCTTCAATAAAATCAATTATTTTCCTCTCGATAAATTCAATAGGCAAACATATTCAGAAGAAAACCAAGAACGAAATAAAACCGCAACTCTTTATGGACGGCAATTTGTTTTTAAAGTAATTCAACGATAAAGCCAACTTCAGGCGGGTTTGTACGCTAAACGTATGGTTATTGCGCGGTTTTATCTTCATGTGTGTGAATGTCAAAAATGTACGGTGGTGCTTGTATAGTGTTTCGGTTCTTGTAATAGAAATGTTGTTGTTCTCAAAGACGTAAACATAAAGCAGGCGAGAAAAGAAAAAGAATTTTTCGATTGTGTGTCCGTATTTCGGGCTATTCATATTGGTAAACTATAATTTGTATTGACACATAATCATCGGAAGTGAATTAGAGAGAGTGTCCGAATTTGAATGCTTTTTTTTTGTTCGCTTGTGATTTTTTCAAGTATTTTTTTCTTCGTTTCTTTTTCATTCGTTTGATGAGTTTAATCCAAGAAAAAAGAAGTTGCTCAATTAAATTCAGGCAATTTGTTTATTCGCTAACAACCATTTGATTCATCGTTTTCTTTTTCTTGGTCTGCATTTGAGAATCGTATATTGTAAATGGTTGCCATGTAGTAATGATAAAAGATTTGGATAATTGTTGCCGTGTGTATGTTAGATAATGTCATTGTGGTTCGCATTGTTTGTGAAAAGTGAAAATTTATGATGTCGTTTATCTAGTCTCTGGAGAATATTGCAAAAGCGTTGCTTTCCGATTGATGTAGACAACGAAGCGGCCGCTGTCGTTACCAAAAAAACTACCCAGAAAAAAAATCGATCACTGTGTAGTTCAATTGCAAACAAATCGAAAGAGCAAAAAACAGACAAAGAAGAAGAAAAAAAGCATAAAACTCGTGTCAAACCTGTTGGGATTGAGTGTCTTCGTATCAAGTGTCCAAGAGTCTTTTTTTCCCTTCTTCTTCGTTCATTACAACTAAAAATACCATACTTGCGTTGCATCGTCAAAGTAAGCAAAAGCGATTTGTTTTGCGTTCCAGTTTCATTTGTTTTTTTTTTTTTTTTTTTTTTTGGTCGTTGTTCTTGTTGTCGAAATTGAACATGAAAAGTAGGCTCATAAAATATTGATTGTACAACAGTGAGTTGACACCGAAAATGGAGTTTTACTTGGTTTTTACAATAATACAAAACAGTTCATTAATCGTGTGCGAAGCGGAAATTACCATTTATCACTTGGACAGAACAAGTTCATTCTCGTCACCATATGGCTATAGAACACGGGATGGTAAACGGAAATATCGGCAAAGAGATGGAAAACCTATTCGATTGACGTCTATTGTGTTGAATATTCCATTTGAACGCCAAATTCCAAATCGACTTTAAACCATCGTTCAAAGGTTGTGTTTACTTAAAAGAGCACGATTTTCAGCAACCATACAAAAGTACATTCGGTGAATAAGATTGCTAATTCGATGGAATTCATCAAGAACACAACCGAACACCACACACACACACACACACACACACAAACAAACACATAAGGAAAAAAAGACTATTTATTGATTGCAGACATTGTATAAGACCATTGCATGTTTAATGTGTAGAAAGTGATTGATTATAACACACGCGATATTGTTGGAACCAATCTTTTTTGTTTCATTACACATTTGCAGCAAAAACAGCAATTTGAAACCTCAAAATGACGGTCAAGCGAATTGAATTATTCGGTTTTCAGTGTACCGTTTCGGTTTTTTGTCCCTCAAATTTAGATCGAATCTAGCATATATTTGTGGGTTTCGCTTAAAATAAACGTCTAATTCGGGTTTTTCGTTGCGTGTTTTTTTTTTCAATCATATTTGTTCTTCATACAAACAGATCCAAGTGACGAAACGTTGCTACTGCTGTCGCTGATGTTGCAGCTGTGCACGAATCTTCGAAACAAACAACAAAACAAAATTAAACTCGAATACCGAGCCAATATACCGTTCATTCGCCCAGGCAAATCAACAGCACCAATTAATCGAACATGATACATTTCAATGAATGAAGAACATTCTCAAGTGAACAACAATAATGTAAATAGTAGCAGTAGCAGTAGCAGCAGCACCAACAACAACAACCACATCCACAACCAAAACCACTTTACACGCGCGTCGTCGTTGCTGCCACCGCCGACTACACACTTAATTAATCGAAAAAACAAAGGTCTCAATGCATTTACGCTGGCCGAGATTGGAGTGTGAATACCGAAATTCTTCGATGATTCCCATTGATCCATTCCATTTTCACTGATTTTACACCGAATTTTCGATTTTTTTGTTCTCTGGCAACACATCGTACTTTTTGCTCATCTCCATCTCTCTGATATGCTACTGCACAATAAGCAACACAGCACAGCAGACGAAAATGATTAACAAAACCTATAAACTTCTATTGGGCATATTTTTATTAATCGTTGTTGACATTATTTGGGTTTCGTCTTCGGAATTAACGAAGGTGAGTCAAAAATAATGATATCTTTTATTTGTTTACCCACCGACAAAAAACCAATTTGTTTTCGTTGTTTTTCTTTTCAGTTTCTTTATCAAAATGAGGACTTCGATAAGCCGTTCTTTTGCACATATTTTAAAACGTCAATGTTTACGCTGTACCTTTTAGTGCTTGGACTGATTGCACCGTGGAAAAATTCATGTGATCCAAATCGCAACAATTATACGGTAAAAATTCATTCATCTTCGGCTGGAATTCTCTCTTATTTCATGTCCAAATTTAATGTGCTTGTTTTGATTTTCATCGTTTTGGGGCGGGGGCAGCTTGTCGATCAGAATGTAGAAGATGAGAATTTTTTCTCAAATGGTAATTCATTAAGTGATTCAACTTATGTGCCGATTAAAAATGGTGGTGGCCACATCTCCGGCACCGAGAGTGATGATTCCAGTATTAGAAGCGTTCGGTTCAGTAAATTGGCCGAAGTGCGAGAGATGTCACCACACGATGCAACCGAAGCTCTGATGTCACGCCTGTCATATGCGGCCAGCATGAGAATTCGACGACAGAAAACCAATCACAAAACGGCCCGTACGGCTCTGATGTTTTGCGTCTTGGTATGGCATTTCTTTATCTTAAATTGATCACCTGTTACAAGAGATGTTCGACAAACGATAATCTTCCAAGGACTTAACGTTAATCTTCTTTATTCTCCCCATTTGTCAGTGGTTCATCGCGAATTATCTATTTCAACTGGCGCTCGAACCGAACGAAACAGCACTGGTCTTGTTGTTGAGTTCAACGTCAACATTTTTCACCTTAATCTTGGCTGCAATGTATCCGTCATCAAGCGGCGACCGATTCACACTGTCCAAATTAATAGCAGTATTCATTTGCATCGCTGGTGTGGTGAGTCTTCTGTTGGCTGTTGACCATTTTTCAGTTCTTTTACTGGTATTTTACACGCTTTTAATCCACATTTTGTACTCTTTCGCACACATACACACAGGTGATGGTTACAATAGCCGATGTCCAGGGTCCAAAAATGTCAAAGGGTGTCGTTTTAGCATTACTAAGTGCTTTTTTTTATGCCTCGTATTTAGTATTAGTCAAGCATAAAAGTGATACGGAAGAGAAAATTGATATACCACTCTTTTTTGGTAAGTTTTGCACCACATCCATTGGTTATAGATTCAATTTAGATCCAATTTTCTTCATTCAGATCATCAATGGAACTTCATTTCGAATCAATTTTAAAAAATTCAAATTTTAACCGATTTCCATAAATTTCTATCGCTTTTCCAAAACAAAACAACACAGGATTCGTTGGTTTGTGGAATCTACTCTTGATGTGGCCAATATTTTTCGTACTGAATTTCACACAAATCGAATTGTTTGAATTACCAAATCATCGTCAATTTTTAGTGTTATTTTTGAATGGATTGATTGGCACTGTTTTATCCGAAGCACTGTGGCTATGGTAACTACGAGTCTATCTTAATTTTAGAGTAATTGTAAAACATATGAAACTGATTGTATTCCACAGGTCGTGCTTTCTAACATCATCGTTGATTGGAACAATTGCAATGACATTGCAAATCCCATTGGCCATGCTGTTTGATGTGATGTTCAAAAGTAAGACATTTTCGTCGCTCTTTTATTTCGGCACAATACCAATGTGTGGCTCACTGCTGTTTGTCGGATTCTTGATGAAAAACGAGGACAGCGATCCGTTATGGCGGCTCATTAAAATTGGCTATCGCAAATTGTGCTTGTGCAGACGACCAAATATAGTTAGGTAAGACACAAATTCATTCGGAACTCTACCATCACGATATGGTGTCATTAGCACTAATTTTTCTCATAAATCGAAAAAAAAATTGTTGTTTTTCTGTTTTATCTACTCTATATCAAGCAATTAACATGTGTATCGTATTATTTCTCTTTGCAGAGTATCAGATTTAGACGAACAACATGAATCTCTGATCAGCAACTACGACAATTAATGAATTCCATCGAAAAGACTATTTAATTTCGTGGTTGTCAATCAATCTACGAACAGCAGCCACTTAAAACACACACACAAAACATATGTACAATGTTAAAATGTACAGTTTAGCTAAAAAAAAGAGAAGAAGAAAACAAACAAGTATTTAACAGGACACATCTCTGGTTCGCATTATTCGTGAACATTTTCAGTGCAACTAAACGCATTTCAATCCCGATTAAAAACATTTCAAAATACGTAATGTATAATTTCCTCTCGTTTTCCTATTAAATAGAATATATATTTTTTGTGGTCGTCATCGTCGTCGATAGTTTTTTTTAAGGAGAATCAGTCAAAAAGAAGAAAAAAACGAAAAAAAATAATCCGAAGATATATGGAAGCATTCAATGTTCGAAAATCCAGTCATTAAGTTATAAAGAAGATCCAAACGAAAAAAATGCTTAAAATCTCACATAAATGTCATTTAGAACTGAAATTCAGAATTTGTTTGTGATAAAATTAATTCTTTTTTTTTGCCCGCCCCCTTTTTTCATTGCGGTTTTTTTTTGTCATGTAAGACATCACATTATAATTTTTTTTTTCCAGTATAGATGTAGTAAGTTATTTTAATTTGGACAGTAAATAAAAATTTGCAATTTGCAATTCAAATAGATACAACCAGAATAGAATGCGTTTCATTTGTTCGCTTACAATTTTGACCGTCGATTTTCTCTCCTCAACAATAATTATGATGAAAATTGAAAATGCCAGTTGCATTTCGAGTTTGTTTTGTATTTTTTTTTAATCTGTGATTTTATTTTGATTTGTCAACAACATTTCGTTTAGAAAAATTTATTCTCTCTTCTTCAGTTTGATACACAATGTGAAGGCATTTTTTTTTGTTGTTTTTAAATAACATTTGAATAAAAATTAAAAAAAAAAAAATTTGAGCATCGACACTTAAAGAAAAAATGCAAGACTTTCAAATATTCGAACCCAATGGCGTTCGTTCTCATCATATTTTCGCGTTCAATATCATCATCATCATCAATATTTATATCTCGCGTTAAAAAAAGATGTTAATAAAATTAGATTGTAATGGCACTAAAACAAAAGTACAAAAGAAAAAACGATACGAAAAAAAAAATTCTTTAAATTACAAAAAAAAAGTCATACCATCAAGTCAATAATAAATTGCTATTGTTAAAATTCTTATCGTGTCATCTTTGATTTGCGTAGCTTTTTGTCATATTTGAGACTGATGCTCGAATTGAACAGAATCTATATTTAATTAACATTTTTCGTTGTAATCGTTGCGTGTTTTTACATTTGCTTCATTTTTTTTCTCTCTCTTTTCTTCTACACTGAATTTCCTTCTTTCTCTCCATTGAAACAGAAAAAAAAATGATTTTATGCTTGACAAAATAAAAACGTTTGTTTCCCTAAATCTATCAAAATAAAAATCGTTGCTCTTTAACGTTCAAATTGAACATTGAAAGGCGGCTCACCGACTCTTTCACTCTACGATACCCGGAGCAAGTACAACGAACAAAACAATGCCTATGCGTAAATTATGTACATGAAACAAATGAAGCAGATGAAGTTGAGAAAGAATTGAAGAAACAGCATGATAGTGATTTCGTTTTTTCTTTTGAAAAAAAAACAGACAAACCGATGAAATTGAGTACGGGCATTAGCAAGTAGTAGAAATGAAGGAAAAAAGAAACGGAAATACAGAGAAGAGAAAAGATAAATGGTGTGAATGCGCAAAGCCTAGCGATTCGATTGACTAAGTCAAAAAAAAAATGTGCTTAAAATAAAGTTGAGGATTTCTTATGCCTTCTCTATCTCTCTCTATCTCTCTCTGGTTGCTCTATACAAATTTTAAATTAAACATCCTTTTATACAAATTATTTATATAGATTCCATTCGAGGTTGTTTTTTTCTTTCTTCATTTTTTGTTTTTTTCCGTTGTTTGTGTTGAAAACACTTTTACAGAAAGAAAATCCTTTGTCGATTTTTTGCATTTGTGTTGTTTAAATAGTTCCAGCCATATTATTTCCATTTTTTTTTGTTTGCTTTGTTTCGTTTCGTTTGTAATTAACTATAGCTATTTCTTTTTCTCTTTGCTTTGAAAACTTCGATTAAATTAATTAATTATCAGATTTAAAAAAAAAAACACATTTGCATTATTGCAGTTACAAATTAGAGAGGGGTCTGCCGACATTTTTGGCATTGTGCCAACGATCAATACACACGCACGCACGCACGCATGCACACCACACACATAACATTATTTTTACACTTCATCTGGTGCTAGGTTGACACTTGACTCTCGCTTCGATCCCGAATCGTTGTTCTGTAAAATTACATCTAGAGCATCATCTTCGCGCGCCTTTTGTGCCGCCTCTAAGCTACGGATTCGATTCTCATGCTTTACAATGATGGCTTTCAGTTTGCGCATCTCTTCGGTTTGCTTTTTTAATTCATCCGTTAATTCTTTCAGTTGGCTTTCCTGTAAAAATGAAACAATTTTTTTTTATCCACAAAAATGACGAGAAAATAAAATAAATTTTTACTTGTCGTGTTCCAAGAAGAAAAAAAAAACGCAACAAAACTTTTGCGATAAAATCACATAGCTATGTGCTCAATCATGATCAACACTTTTTTTTCCAGTAGAAAATAATTATTTTTAATATTATAATGGAATCACTTACATCAATACTGGATGCTATTGAAGTGTTGTTATTGTTGTTGGTTGCGTTTGAATTGTTTGTGGCACTGCCTTTGGGACCGCGTGGCGGTATCTTGTTCAGCGCATTCTCTTTCCTGTTAACGGTCAACGTTTTTGCGCTTGATGGTGACACATACCCACCCTGTACCATTAAAGAACGATCCTAAATTTTAATTTTGACTTTTAGTATGCTCATTTAGCTGCGATTTTGTGCACACACACACACACACGAAACATTAAATCTAATCTGGATTCTGGGTCCGATTAGTAAATTGTGTACAGATGATGAGGTATGTACATATTCGAATATGTGTTTATGTATTGTTTTATTTTTTTAATGTTTGGCACCATGCAGCATTTAACGGTATTAAAAAAAATGGAAAATATTTAACATAAAACAAATGGCCATGAATCGTTCATTTCTCGTCACAAAATCGATGAGTGTTTTTCTATCTTCTTCTTTTCTATTCAGAGAGAAAATTTTGCGATTCGAAATGGCTATTTTTGAATGGATGACCACAAACGGTGAGTCATTTTGAATTGGATATAAATATTTTGTTTACGATTTTCAGTTTGTCATAACTCACTTTAAGTGAAACCAAAATTGGTTCGGCATCAGTTCCTTCGATCCATTCTTCGGCGGTAGTGGCATGCTCATCAGACAATGTATCCGGATACAAATCCTCTTGGAAGAGTTCCGACCTTCGCGGCACCGTCATTGAAACCACCTGACACAATCCATTGTTATTCAGTCGATAAAACTTGGCAATTTCGCAGGTGTTTACATCACAACCTCGTTTTGGCATCATTCCTATACCGCGTTGCGGATCTGGTGACTGATATGTGTTAATGAAGTGAACAAACGGTGCTTCTGGTGTAACCTAAAGATAAAACCGAGATTTTGGTTCACTTTCCATGAAGCAAGAATTTTCTTTTCCTTTCAATGAGTCAAAGGCCGATTAAGTTACCTCAAAATATCTGATCACCGAATCACCTTTTCCACATAAGAAAACTAGATTTGTGTCCGGATCGTAAAGAGGGAACATAACACCGTTTGATGTGTCCAATTCAACCATTACGATTGGATCGTTGAGAGCATCCGGCGCTCGAAGCGAATATTGACGTTCCGATGATCGATTGAAACTGAATTGGGAAAAAGAATGGAACACCAAATAAATGTTGGGATTTTGACATTGAACCAAACAAATCGAAAATTTTATTCAAATCCATACCCGGTGGTGAAGATGAGTCCATGTCGCAAGAAGATGGCTTGTGTTGCTTTTGATCCCTCATGACAGTAGGCTTCACTTTCAACTTCACCTGTGCGTGGATTGATCAAACGGATTTTCTTATCTTTGCACGTGGTCACCAATTTGGCACCGTTCCAATCCCAGCATGCACTGTAAATCTGATCCGGATGACAATCGATTTTGACTAGCGATTCACCAGTGCCCACATTCCAGATAACGGCCTGATTATCCGAACCGGCTGTGAGCAAAACATTCAATGCTGTCGGATGCCACAACACGATGCCAACACGTCGCTGATGATAAAGCAAATCAACAACGGGTTCGGTGATTGTGCGAACGAGACCTCCATCAGGAATTTGCCACACCTATTTTTCAAATGAAAAGAAAAATGTGTATCAAATGAAAAAAAGGATTCAAGACTAAACGGAGAAAAAGTATTTGAAATGAAAAAAGTAACTTACTTTCACCACACAGTCTTCTGATCCAGACGCAATGACGTTGTCATTGTGCGGGCACCAAGCAATATCTAGCACAGGTCCTTTATGGCCACCAACCAATGGATGATCTGGATTTATACGTCCAACCTTGTCAACGAAAACAAATGCATTTACATTAAAACTCGCAATTTCTAAATTTATAAATTGACGTAAGTTTGGTAAATAAATCTCACGCTTGGCTGTGTCCTTTTTCACGTCTTTAATTCATTGAAAACAAAAAGAAAATCATTGTTTTTCTTCATTCACATTGCGCCCAAAATGAATGAAAATCAACGCATTGGCAGAGCCACATGAAAATAATTCACATTTCTGACATGATAAGTTGGTTTTGATTTTTTTTCGGTACGTGCGAACGGCGCAGAAAGAAACAAAAACACCGAGCAAAATAATGAAGTGTCATCAAAAAATTGAAATATTATTAGTATGAAAGCGACCGTAAAATCGGGCGATCACAAGCATAAATGTTCAAAAATAGTTACTTCAAATGACAAAAACGATGATGATGTGTGTGTGTGTATGACCTATTTCGAATGGCCAGCCGAGAAAAACAACGCGAAATAAGAAAAAAAACAGCGGCAACAAAAACAACAACAACAAATTGACAAAATTGCGCACGGGAAGCGATTCTCACAGCGATTTTTTTTTTGGTTTTTTTTTTTTGCTGCCAACCAAAGCGGTTGCGAAATACGCGAATGGGAATCATCATGAGGCGCACATTTCGTAAATAAGGTGCGCTCATCGACCGAACCGTCTAAAAATTCGGATTTATCCAAAAAGCCAACGTTATGCGTGAGTGTGTGTGAGCAAATGTGCTAAAATTAAATCGTCATTTTGTGTCTGGCTGGTGGCCAAAATTTGGCCCGAAATAAGATATCGAAAATAGGAAAATTAAAGGTCAATTACTATCCGTAAAATAGTTTCAAACTGCTCCAGTTTCATTGGGATGGAATTTTTGCATTGGCAATCAAATGAGCAATTTGCCGTGTGCGCCGTCGCCGTTCCAACAAACAAACATTGCGGGGCAAATCGGTTGCAAATTAATGAGAAAAGACGAAAATAGTTTCACATCAAGATACACACAAACATCAGCCACGTTACTTGCGCTCCTCGTTCGCCTTTTCTTCTTTCTTTTCCTCACTCTCTCAGTGCTTTTTTTTTATCGCTCTCTCTTTTTCTCGAATCATTTCATTTTTGCTTAGCTCTTTGGCAGACCGTTGCAAGCAGTCTCTTTGATTTACCGGTTGATGCAATTGCGTCTTTATTATTCAAATAAATAACGATTTTTTTTCGGCCAATAATTAAATATTCGTTTGAAACTAATGTATGACACTAAAATATGGTGATCATCGATTGTAATGCGCATTACAGTGGTCGAATGCGAGAGAAAAATGTGCACCACGAATAAATACAAAGAAAAAATTAAACGAAAATTGGATCAAACAAGACGAGCGCGCGTTTGTTTTGCGCCCTACGAAAAATAATATCAGCGATATATTTGTTGTTGTTCGTTATTTCTGCCATTCACATTCATAAATTAACCTCGAAATTTCAACACATCATATTTTGTGTTTCTTTTCGATTCAAAAGATTTTTTTTTCGATTTGGTGATGTCGACTCTCGGTTTTGGCGAGCACACAGCCGCTCGATCGAGAACACCGACCACCAGGAGTATTTATCATTTCGATATGAATATGTTGGTGCGTAGGTAGATGGTATGGTAGCTCGACACAGAGCAAGAGAGCAAGAGAACAAGAGAGCGACAGAGTTCGAGGAATATTTTAATTGCAACTAGTTGCGTTACTTTGTTCCGAGAAAATTTTTTGTTGTTCCATTTACTGTTTTGTTCCGACGATAAGCGCATCATTGCATTTCCCTTGATAACATCTCTATATCTATAACATTCGCTGTATGCAGCGAAATCATTCCGAAGGCGGTTAATTTCATTTAAGGGTCAGATCCCGTATATTTCCATCGAAATTCAGCCGGCCAAAGGCGGCAATTGTTTTATGTTGATTCACATTTATCATCGCAGCCGATATGATTCATGAGCGGATGTTTTATTTTCGTCGATGCTGATACGAATATCCTTAATGCGTATAGCGCAGATGCGTGGATAAAATGGAAAACCACATAGATTATCGTTTCAAAATGAGTTGACGATGACGATGAATGGCAACAACAATAACAACAAATTCGATCGTTCAATTGGTACGCGATCACCAACTGTGAAAGTATGTTTCAGTTGCAAAAGGTTCTTTTCTTGTACACATTGTGTCATTGTGTGTATAAGTGGCTGTATGTGACAAATGTGAATGGGATTTGTTATTTTGCTCGTTTTGCTAGTTTCATTGCTCTATTATACACATAAAACATCTATATAAAATACGCTCATACATTGTCGTTTAATTAGGAATTCGAGACCAGCTTCGAAACATAAGATTGATTCCATTATTCTGAGTCATTCGCGCGCGCGCACACTGCATGCCACGCCGAATGGCCATTGAGCATTGAGCGTTTAAGATTGTCGTGGAGTGCGCGCGAGCGTTTTTTTCATTCGTTCGTTTGCTCGCGCCCAGTGGCCAACAACAACAAAAAGCGATTTATACGACATCACGAGCGTTTAGCTGTTTGTTTATTTGTGTTTATGATTTGAAATCTGTTTATTATGACCATTGCTGCTAATCATTCTACTATTATAGTATGTTTCGACAAAAAAACCGCACTCATCAAATGTGACGATTTTTTTTTACATTATTTGCGTTTTTTCTCTCCAATTTTCTATTCATTCTATCTTAACATATGTTCAACGATTGGGTTTCTCTCTATCTCTTACACTTTTGTCGCATGTAGAGTGAGACTATGGGTTCGGATTTGTGTTGAAGTGCGTGATTTTGTTCGTTGTCACGATCCATTTATGTTTTGTTGATTCATTTGGAATGCTTTCTTCGTCATGTTTTCACTGTTAATGAAATATTACCCGCTTTTATATATATAGAGTCTACATGAATACGTGGTCATTTTATCGAACGATAACGACACAGAAAAGAAAATTATCAATTACGGAATGTATCAAGTGCGTTGCACTGAATACTTGACTTGAAAATCTATAGAGACTAATGAAAAGAAAAAGCAGCCCAGAGAATGAAAGAAAAAGAGAGGAGAAAAAAAACACACATCAAAATGGCCAAAGCCAACCGAAGAGTGTACAGAATAAATAAAAAAAATTATAGTAGAAGGTGCACACATATACGCACAATAAAATTGCGAAAATGACACAATTATCGATCATCAATAAACCGTTCTTCATATCAATCATTACACAGTTGAGCAGATATTTGTATCGCAATATCAACATGAAATTAACATCTTTTTCGATTCCACTTGGCTTGTTTATCGAAACAAGCGTTCAATTACACGATGACAACGATAACGACGACAACAAACAAAATTTACGACACAGACAAAACGAACGAACCGAGAAACAAAAAAGCAAAAGAAATTGGATTGTGTGTGTAAAATTGACGAATGATGGCATTTAAGAATGAAGAAAGGCCGATTAATTTAAATGAAAAGCCGATTTTCCCCGTTGTTTTTGGTCATTTTTGATCCCAATGGCAATAAATGCGTTGATTTTTCATTTTAATGACGATTTATTGTATATGAACGAAATAGAAAACAGAAATAAATCATGTAAAAACATAACACCTTGCCGTTGCTTACCTTGTTGTGTGGAAGAACGATAAAAGCACCGCCGCCCGCTGATTCAACGATAATGGCCAAGAATTTCGGGTTAACTGCACAAAATGTTGAGTCCCAGCTACTTTTCGATACCCGAATATTATCGTAACATTGTTCACGCTTTAATGCCGTACCGTAAACATGTCGAAATTTTGAGCTCCGCACTATCCGAAAGGACATTTTGATTGAATTTCTCTGTGTTTGTGTGTTTTGTTTTTGTTTCTTTTCTTTCAGCACAGTCTTTTCTTTCGTTGATATTTTCAGTGTTTCTTTTTTTTTTGATCTTTTATCTGATCTGGTTTTTTTTTTCTTCAGTCCAATGTGTTGTTTTGGTATGGTTATCTGCCAATTTGTAACACTCTAAATTTAGGCACTACAAAATCTGGAAAAATTTAAAATTCACACTTGAATTGGTTGGTCGTTTTGTTTTATTTTTGCTAAATTGTTGGAAATGCAAAAAATGATTTTTGATTTGAGTTTTTAGGTGATGGTTGTTTTTGTGGGTTAAAATCTATTTTTAGATGGTTATTTTGTTTGTATCCTCGACAAATGAACCGTGCTTTTCGTGAGCACACAATTTTCTTACACACGTCTTAGAATTGGCCCTTCAAATAGAATTTATGATGATAATTAGTTGAACAGAGAGAAGACAAGAGAGAGAGAGAGAGAGAGAGAGAGAGAGAGAGAGAGCAAGAGAGGGCAAGAGAGGGAGAGTGGACGAGAGAAAGAGAGAGAGAGAGATCGGTACAGAAATCGAACACAATTCAAATGCTTAAAAGTCATTGGGTGCAATTGACATTTCACCTTGTTAATGAAATTACGTCGATGGTATATCAATGTTTGATCAAATTTCCGACATATATTTATACCCAGCATTCACTCTCATTCCATCACACCATTGCTAAAATGGTGATGGCCAAAAGGTATGGAATAGTTATTAAGATGGATTTGAAATTGGATATTTAGTTATTATTGTATTGATGTATGTATACATTAGCACTCCTTTGAATCAGTTTTAATTAACGCAACAAATGATGACTGAGGCGACTAGCTATTAACCTATATACATAGACAGATGCACTGTTACGATTTTAGCATTCAGCGAATATATGTTGATTTGTTTTGATATTCAAACGCACGCGGTGATGGTGGCGATGACGGCCATGTAATGGAAAAAACTAAGTTCACAACCACAAATTCGCACATCGAATCGGCACTCATTCACTCACTCACTCACACACACCCACTCAAATTGTTATTTTTGGAATCTCTGTTTCTATTGAAATTCTTCGGTTTTTTTTATCATAATTTCTTTTCTTAGAGCAAAAAAAAAAAACTTTTCATTCACTTTTGATATCGGCATGTGAAAATATATGAAGAGCAGAAACGAGCAGAAAGAAACAAATCAGAAGAATGCGGGCTTTCGATCAAATATTTATTTATTTTTTCCTCGTCTATTTTGCCCTTATCAACGGAGAACTGTTGTGTGCAGTGAGTGCACAGTGATCACAAAATCTCGAATATGACCAATTACGGTAAATATAGTCAACCGGCTAAACGTAAATACTCTCTCACAATCGTGTATTTTTAAAATAGTTTGCGAAGCAAATGAATAAAGAACTACTATTCGAAAAACCTTCCCGACGACGACGACAACAACAACGACATCGACAACGGCGATGAATGTGTATTTTTTTCCGCTCTCTCGTGTTGCGCGCATCTACGCTTTCCTAATGTTTATTTCCACACAATATTGTGTTGTATATCGCTCGCACGTTAGTTCGCCTCTACTTGTGATTTTTTTTTTCACTTCTTTCTTTCGCGCGACGACAACGACAGAATCTCGGATCTTGTTTCATTTCTCTTGACCCTATTCGTTGTGACAGGTTCTCTTTCTATCGGTCTCGTGTGTTTGTGTTGCTATTTTTTTTTCTCAGTTTGTTCATCGCTCATTTCTTTTCTGTTTATTATCGACCACGTTCTTCAAATCCATTTGACTTTCTCTCTTTCTCTTTCTGTCTGCCCGGTGTAGCCGTATGCACTGTCTCGAGTGTTATTCGCTTGATTTGTAACAGTTTTATTTCGGTAGTGGCCGATAGCAGCCGCATCATCAACAGCAACAGCACAATTATCATATGCACTGGCTAAAAAAGCCACAAGAAATGTCACCGATCGAAGCAAGCGAGTGAACGCGAGACTTTGGAGCATAAAAGTATTTGCACAACGACAGGTTCACGACAACGACGAAGACGATGAGAAGAGAGCGACAGAAAAAAAAACACACAACAAACTACGAAGAGACATCGTCAACAAAAGAGAAAAGAACTGAAATAAAACATTCAATATAGAACGTGTGTGTATGATACCATCCCGTCGTAGATTATATTATTAGAGACTGACAAAATGTGAATCGTGGCGGTGCAAAAGCCAAATGGAAAATTCAAGCAGCGAATTTAAAACAGCCAAGATCGACGACGAAGACACCCAGACACACGTTCACATATTGTGAGCGGATTTAACTCGATAATAATGTCATTTATGACATGCATTCCACGTGATGATTTGGATGCTGCTGCTGCTGCTACAACTACCACTACTGCTGCATAACATCATCATCATCATCATAGTCGTGATGTGCGCAACAAACGCTTGTCGGTCGAATTGCGTAAGAAATCTCAGGCTATTCTTTTGATCGATGAGTGATCTTCAATTGCAATCAAACAACCAACCACCACTTTGTGTGCGCCGAAGCCAAGTCACGTCACGTCACATGAAATTGAACTTTCTCTGTGCACGCTCTCTCTCTCGCTCCCGCTCTCACTCTCTTGCTCTCTCAATTCTTGTCAAGTGTAAGAAAGATTGATTCCGAAGTCTACATAACAAACACACATATGCATCTCGTTTCGGGTATTTTCAACTTCTTGAAACTTCGCTCTTCATCGAAACGAAGATAAATATTCTTTCCTTTTCATTTTTTTGTTGTTGTTGTAGTCGTTCTTTTTTTTCCTCGAGTAAATTTGTGAATTTTTATTTTTAGCACTGTCGGATAGAAATAGCTTTTGAGAGAAGAGGCAGAGGATAATGAATACACACGTTGGACGAACGTACCGAAATTCTGTAGAAATGTATCCACTTATTTTGAAGAGAATAAGAGTGACGAGAGTGTAGAACCAGCAGTAAAAATGGCATCAGCTTCATTTTTTGTTGTTGCTTTTTTGAAACGAAAAAAAAAGTATTTTGTTATAAATTCGTGAATGGGTTGATTTGCCGTCGTTTCCGAAATTGTTTCAATAGCACACACGGTCGGCCACAAAAACCCGAAAGAGACAGAAGAATATAGTATATTGCAAACGGAAGAAATCTTCGTTACTGTTGCGCGATGATCCTTCGGGCCCCAAGAAATGGCCTATTGCGCACACCGACCGATGTGAAGAGTGAGTGAGAGAGCAGCGATATGTCGATATCACGGCCAAAATTCAGAGTGGGATGAGCTCAACTCCGAATATCTGGATTCTGAAATTCATTGCTCACGATTCATTCGAGTAATCGAGCTGCCATATGCCAGAGACGACGACGACGACGATGGCTTATTATATTCGGGTGATATAAAGATTGTTTTCTCAAGAATTACGGAATGAGAAACATTGCGCGCGCGGTATTTTAATGTGCAGAATGAACGAAACTGAAGAACGAAGAGAAAAAAACTGAATTACATTTCGATGAGACATCCAACGGAATCAAATGAGTAGACAAAAACAGAAAAAAAACAACAACTGCAACAACGACAACAACAATGAAGAAAAAAAAAGTATATGTTCGTTTCAACAAAATATCAACGCGCAAGCTGATTATGAATTCGGGCCGCATGTACGAAAATTTTTGAGTTCATTTTATTTCGCTTCATTCGTTGGGCTGTAAATTTATTTTTTCTCTTGTTTCGCTTTCTTCATATCGCAAAGTTGCTGCTTGAAATTTTCATTAAATTTTTTTTTCCTTCGATTGAGTATTTGAATTTTGTCTTGAGTATTTATCGAGGTGTTAACCTGTTGTGTGTACTGTTTTTTTGTCGGTTTTCTCATTGCGAAAGCAACCGTTTTCCATAAGCAACGTTGCAAAGCAATCGCATTTATTTATCGTTTTTGGGATGTCAGAACTTTGACCACCGCACATTTATCAGTTGAGTCATTCGTCAAATTCTGGTTGCGAGTGTTGGTTTTGATTTCATTCGAGAACCACCAAGTTAAATTGTCTCTAAACTCGACGACCACGATTCAAATGCACAATAGCAAGAAAATGTATGACCGATGATCGTATTTTACTTTTTCTCCTCTCTCTCTCTCTCTCTCTCTCTCTCTTTTTTTTTTTCAACAAATAACCACAAATCACACTTGTTACTGGCACTTAATATTTTAGAAGAAGGACAGAGAGAAAAATCCAATTAAATTGTTCGGCATCGAATTGCAGTCGCAGGGAAATTCTTCTTTTTTTTTCTCTTCAAGAAAAACTAAATTTTATTTTTCGGCATTAGTCATTAAAATGAGTTAGAAAGCTTTGAACAGAGAGTAACACTTGAGTAGGAAAAAAAAAATTATTTATATTAACCAACAACAACAACAAAAATATAAGAAGAAAAATAACAAAATTACGGATAGAGTAAAAGAGAACAAACACATTCGACAGACACGGTTACACTATTTTTCATTCCGAGTATTTCGAACATATTTTTTTGCTTCGTTTCATTACTTCTTACTTTCAGGCAGCCGTTAGCACACACAGAATTGTGTGTTCTGTTTTCATCGACGACGACGATTGTAAATGTGTATACAAGACATACACACCATAATATTGTGTGTTGTTTGCTGTTGACGTTGTCGATGTCGATGTCGTTGTTGTTGTTGTTATTTTTCGTCTTCTCTTCTTTTCGGTGTATTTTAAAAATGTTTGCAAGGCGACGAAGACGACGACGACGACGACGACGACGACGACGACGCATTACACACTGAGATTCTTGATTCAAATGTGTGTATGTGATTAATAGATAGATCGTTTGGTATCGCGCGCACTGGCACTCGCACAACCGTACTCGTAGTATGGATTCAACACAACCGAAAAAGCGAAGTGAGCGTGCGACTGATCCAAAGTCAGAGTGTAACAGAGATGGAGATCATTTCTTGGTTTCTTTTTTAATTTCTTGCTTGATACACACACCAACAGAATGACGGATACATCGAAACGCTGTTCCAAAGACAAGGACCAGCCAAACGGCTGAATATGTATATCTAACACCCGACCACATTACAATGGGAATTAAGATGAATTGTTTGGAAATAGATGGAGCGAATGAGAAAAATCTTCAAGAAATAATGAAAAAAAACATACACACAACAATAGCTAAGCCGTAGTGCACACATGCACACAAGGAATCAAATACAAACGATATGAGAAGAGTAAGATAAAAAAAAGGAGATTAAACAGTTTGACTTCAGGTTGTTTGCTCTCTGGTACAGTCCACGAATTATGAGGAAGAGACGAAGAACGGTCAACAAAACAACAATACATGCACACACGAGATGAAGGAAAAAAATAAGTCACAGAACGAAATTCCTCGTGTATCGAATATGTGCGGAACACGCACACACAGCACACCGCCATCAATGATGAACAATAATTGGATTTTGCCTTTGCAAAGTATCTTGTTGCTGTTGTTGTTGGTTTTTTTCTTCTTTTCTTTTGATTTTTTGTCTCGTTGCACAGATTGGGTTTGTGTGCGTGTGTTTCGTCTCTTTCTTATCCAGAGCGCATATGATATTGCGCGCGGCTTTCGTACGATGAAGAATGGATGGTGCGAGACAGTGAAACTAATCGCACTTACATGTTGTCGGTAGTCACTGACAAATGCCGGTTAGTGCGGACACTCACTCACTCTCTGTCTATCGCACTCGTGTGCACACTGCACACTGCACATGTATGTGCTAGCCGCTCAATTTTGATTTGTTCGAGTATTTGTATCTCGTTCACAACAAGCAACGCAGAAATTTGTACGATTGTGTGTTTCCACGGGCACAGTTGTGTGCATGTGTCGCATGCCACTGATGATCATCCATCTGAATGTGTTCGCTTTTATCAACACATTTCTAATGATCCACGCTTAAAGATCGGTTCGATTGCCAGAATATCCGGAGAAAACCATCAATTAAAAACCGTCAAGAGGCAGAAACATCTTCATTGCATTGAAAATAGCGTATGGGACATTTGGCCCGGCGAATGCCAAACGTTGACAATATGCATATACATTTCTATAGCATGCACGGCGCAAAGCCACCGAAATGACGAATCATATTTCGTTTGTGATGTGAGTGCGTCGGCGCATTTCGTGTAGCGTGTGTTTCGCGGCGGCTGTGTGACTTAATTCGGTTACTCTCACTCATCGCTGGCACACACACACACACACACATACTCGCTGGATTTGTGTATGCGCGCGCATACCGGTGTGTTTGTATGTGCGTTTGCACATCGCATCAAACACCACCAAAAATCATTTTCACAGTCAAACTTATTCCTTGCCAAATTTGGTTATTCGTTTTGTGTGAGAGATGCTTGAATACATCTTTAGCAACGGCGGCGGTGGCAGCGTGTAAGACCACGCGTACATCATCTTTTCAGACTACCAAAACTCAATCAATCGTTGCGCTTCATCGTTTTTATCCCCTCTTACTCTGCTTCATATAAACAAATAAACATGATTCAGCTGAAAATGAATTTTTCCATTGCGATTTGTTGCCTTCGTTTTGTCGACTTTTCTTCTCTCCTTGATAATTTTGGGTTGATTTTCTTTTTCTTCTGACAGTGGATTAGAATTTGCAAAATCTTAAAATGAAAATGCTCATTTTCTTTCTTCATTGATGTTTATTAAGAAAAAATATTGGGTTATTTGGCAATTTTATACATTTCGGTCGTCTTCAAATTCAAGGTACGCATACAAGAGAAACACCAAAATGATAATTCAAATCGTAATTTTACGCACTGGTAAAAATGCATGAACACAAACAAGTCTCACTCTCAAATTATATCTTGCAATCATTACAATTGTTTTCATGGTAGAATATTAAACAAAACAAAAAAAAAAAACAGAAAAAAATTACGATATTATTCTTTTGCGAAAAATCCAGTATCATTTGGTCTAATCTTGAAAACAACGGAACACAGAAAAAAAAAATTCTCACCGAACTTTCTCAGATTAAATCGCCTGTAATTGTGTCTCATCATCAAAATAAAGAAACATAACTTGCATTGAATTGTTTTGTGTTTTTTCTTTTCATTTATTTAATTCTTGTATTGTTTTGTTGCTGTTGTTGTTATACCTTGTGTTTTCATCATTTTCTAATTGTAAAATTGTAAGTAATACGTCAAGATATCTCTTTTATTTATGGTTTTCTCTTAAAAATGTGTGTGTGTGTGTGTTTGTGCTTTTGTCGCTGTCGTGCATTTTTTGAGATGAGGAAATGTTCAAAAGAGACGTGCGCGCGATTTGCAAAGCATTCCTATCCTATTATCTTAAAAATTTGTTTTTAGTTCATTACGCTACGGGAGCTGGCTCTTTCTTCTCTTCGGGTGGCTTAATTTCTGTTTCAGTATCATTTGTTTCCACTGGAAATGGGGGGAAAAAAGAAGAAAATTAGCAAAATTGGTTGATGATCGAAAATTATCAAAGTTCTTGAGGGGACTTATAATCCCAAGAGGAAAAAAATATCCCAAATTGGCTTACTTTTTGTGTCTTTTTCATCTTTGACTTCACCTTCGGCGGCCGGTTTGCCATCGTTAGATTTGTCGAGACGAGGTCGTTTACGTTGGCCTTTGTATGATCGATTGTCACGTCGTCCACCTTCACCCTCGTCCTCTGAATCGGAGAATTCGTTATCGGGTGCGATGCGTTTATCTTTATCGCTTTGTGGTAGTCGTTCGTCTTGGTTCACTTTGTCCTCGTCATCGCTCTCATCGTTGACCGCATCCTCTGGAATGGCCTGTACTTGAACGCCCGGTGCATGTGGTAACATTCGTAAATTTTCAAACAAGCGATTTTTGATCTTCTCCAAATATTCAGTCGTATTTTGATTGGACATATTACTTGGGCTGATATGTAATTTAAAATCGGGTCCAAAGTATTCAAAGTAATCGTTATATGGTAGTTCGTTGGCAATTTCAACGCCCAATGCAACTGATGTTTCATACGTCCAACATCTTGATACATTACGAATGGTATAACCACCGCCGCCCACCATTAAAAATGGTAAATTATACTTTTTGACAAATTCAACGCATTTACCATGTCCTTTGACCGTTAAATTGAAGCAACCCAAACGATCACCGGTCAACGAATCAGCACCACACTGAAGAACAACGGCCGATGGTTGAAATGTTTCCATTACTTTCGAAATGATTGGTACGAATATGGATTCGTAAGCATCATCGTCCATACCATCACGCAATGGAATATTTACGGCATAATATTTGCCTTTGCCAGCACCAATATCACGTAAATCACCCGTACCCGGGAAATATTCACCATATTTGTGAAAGCTAACCGTCATCACACGGTCCGTTGTATAGAATGCCTCTTCCACACCGTCACCATGATGCACATCGATATCGATATACAAGACACGTTGATGATATTTCAACAATTCCAAAATGCCTAAGACAATGTCATTCACATAACAAAATCCAGACGCTTCCGATTTTTTAGCGTGATGCAAACCACCGCCCCAATTGATACAAATCTCCGATGCTTGTTTGTTCAGTTTTACAGCCGCGGCGACAGAACCACCAGCCGACAATTGACAAAACTCATACAGGCCATCGAACACCGGACAATCCTCACCAACATTGACTGAATTGAAAGTGAACGAAACGAAAAGAACAGATTCAGAAATTGGATATTCGACCAAAATCCAGTGGGAAAAATCGAACTTTTTTCATTCGATTCGAAAAAAGAAGGGTTTCATAACCAAACAAAATTCAACACTTACACCGCTGCATCTGCTTGTTGTACTCCGACATGTTGTCCGGTCGAATGGAGCGCAAGAATCGAATGTAATCGTCTGAATGGAATTTGGTCATCTCATCTGCGGTGGCTTTGTGTGGACGCTGCACAAAATTCAATCATATTTTTAGTTTTGAGTCAGAACAAATTCGATTTTATTTTCGAAAAAAAAAAATGCTTTCAAATAATTACATAGATTTCCATTTTGCGGTACAGGCCATAGTTTAACAGCAAATTATGTGTCATACGTATACGATGTGGCTTCATTGGATGTCCTTGGCCATAATAATAATTGCCAATATCGCCTGTAAAACAAAAAAAAACATTCCATTGAAAATGTGAGGAAAATACGGAAATTCCAAAGAATGGATATGGTCAAGCCAATTGCTAACGCCATTGTATCGAGAGTGTTTGTGTATCGTTTTCCAAGAATTTACACCAAGCGTATCTCAGTGCACGAACGCATATATACGTATTCGAACGACCGTACCGTAGAGAATGGTGCACGTCATACAATCACACAAGCATCTATAGTATTTGATGTAAAACCAAGCGGAACGCGCTTTCGCAAGCATTCGTCAAAAAGTACGGTCGTCCGAAATCCGAGTGAACCGAGTAATGGCTGCCATAAAATTTAAAAAACACATTCGTACCAATTCGTCGATTTGAAATTTTTTTTACACAAATTTACGCATAATCTTAACTTGAAGCGTCAAATTTTTTTGCCCAAATTGGTTCCAAACCAAATCACGGATATGTTTGAAAAATTGGAATTAAATAAAAATTGAATTTTTTTTCCATTTACTTACTGTCATAGTAATAACAAACGCGCTTTTTGCTATGAGCTGGTGCCGACATTGTTCACTTCTTTTCACCCTTTTTCACTGGGACTTATTAAAAAATGAACGATGCAATTGGTTTTTTTTGGGAAAAACGTGCACAACCAAATAAATTTGGTTGGAATTTGTTCCAAAAATTCGGGTGAAAATATGGAAAACCGAATATGCACCGGTTGTGTATATTTCCACTGTTTGTATTCAGCTAAAGCGGCTTGTCTTTGGGATAATGTTACTGTAGCGCGCGCGTCTGAAAACTGTGGGCTATTTTACTTGAGTGAACGACACAACACACAATGCATTGCAGCTATGCCTCTATGTATATGTGTCCATGTTTGAAGCAACAACAACAACAACAACAACAACGAACAAAAATAAAACATGGTGGAAACAATTCTAGTCCATCATCAAACGCAACAGTACAACAAAATGATAAATCTAGTACAAATTTCTTGGTCGCATTTGACATTTCATGTGTTCGGCATCTGTCTGTGATGGGGGCCAACTTCACTGCAAACCAAATACGAATACAGTGGATAAGAAACGTTGAGCTGGAAAACAATGAACGGGTACAGCCATTAAATTCGAATTAAATAGACAAACGATAAGATTATTGACTCATAAAAAGATGACGAATCGTTATCATAACCATAAAATATGTACCACATTTCCGTCAAAATGCGAGCAATACGTTTTGAATTCCATTGTTTGAGATGCAATGGAAAATCGTATCGAACAAAGACAACGATGGAATTGAATGGTTGGATGGATGGGAACGCAGCATGTAAACCATTTGAAGTTTTCCCATTTAACAATTATAGATGGAAAAGCAAGCAAATCAAGTCATAAATATAGATTACGATTACATATACAGAGGAGTGCGCGCGGTTTGCATACAATCAACCGCACGAAATTCACATATATGCATACGAACACACATACATGCGTCGCCACACATAGCGCAACAGAAGCACACATAGTGTAGATGGAATATGGTTGCCATCGTAGCAAAGCGGTATAATTGGTAAAATAGCTCTCGTTCGTCTAGTCGATTTGTGGCTTTGTTCTCTTCGATGCACTCTCATTTCTCTTCGGTTGTTAAACGGTACTGTGCTGCTGCTGCTACTGCTCCTGCTGTGTTTCTGCCGCTCTCGCACTCTCATTCTACCGTATTCACATATACACATTCTCCCTTCTTGGAGTCTTGTTTCGTTTGCTCTGTGCTTCGTTATTTCATTCACTCTCACGAAGCGCGTCTTCTCAACTGCTGTGTTGCTGCTGTTGAATGGGGCCGAGAGTCAACGTATCTTTATAGTTAAACAACCACATCAATGCAAATGGTCTTTCTCTCTTTCTCTTGCTGTGTGTGATAATTTCATGTGCTCTGGTGCCAGAACAATAAACGCTTATGGCGTTCCCTATTCCAAAATATCTACCACGCACACATTTAAACAACCGCTGCATACACATACATACATGCTCGCACACACTCGCATAGATACACACACACACACGCACATCTATACGAACGGCAAAAAACGGTTGTTGGTGCTGTTGTGTATTTTCTCTCCCCGTTTTTCACTGATGAAATCCGAATTTATTCATTTCTCTCACACATCGTTCTTGTAGTTTGATCAAGTCTGACTGTTCTACTGCCAACAAGCCGTGTGTATTATTTTATTTTATTTTTCTCTCGTTGTTATTTTGTGGCGACTGTCGCTCTCTCTTGTGCTCGGTTCGTTCGCTCTCTGTCTCCTCAGTGTGTGAGTGTGTGTGTGCATGTATCTGCATGAGTTCTTCTTTTATTTTTGGTTCTTCTCTTCATTTGCTCAATAGATGCACACAATATTCCATATGACCAACATACATCGAATCGGGAAAAAGTAGTCGGAATATAGTAGTAGGAAAGGAATACAGAAGAGAAATAACACAGAAAGAAAAGAAAATAACATAAAACACTGAAATAATAGAAAAGAATACACACGCCAGAGTAACAGCAGCAGAAAGAAGTTAAACGAACAGAAGAGAAGAGAAAAAAAAAATCAAAATGGCCGTGAATATATTGGAGGGTTGACGTCGATTTCATACAGCAAATTCGTTTATGCTGCCAAATTTACCGAGCATAATTATCAAATACGCACAATCAACAACATCGACATCCACAGATTATTACCAGAAAGAATAACACTCAGACATTTTCTAGCACCTCATTTTCGAATTGCGATTTTGTGTGTTATTGTTGCGTGTTTTTGTGTGTTTCTTGCTAAGTTTTTTTTTCTTCTATTCTCTTTCGAAGAGAGTGAGATTGATTGAGTGAGTGAAGAGTGTGCAAAGCACACACAAGAAGTGAAACCAACAGAAATAATAGTAAAAAAAAACGAAGTAATATTAATATGAAAACTTTCTCGATTGATGTTTGTCTCTTCGGTGGTGATAATCTATATATATAAAAAAGAAGTCATTGTGCTTAAAATCCAGAACTAGAAGAAAAAGAAGAAAAAACAACGGTGTGTGCTAAGTTGTTAGTGCACGTTTAAAAAGGAAGTTGATTCGGTTGAAAGAAAAAGAGAGAGAAAACAGAGTATTCAAATGAAAGTGTTATCATTCAACAACAAGACACATCATTCATTCAATGCAGAGGAGATAAAACCAAAAACAAATAACAATAAACACATCACACATTAAACGGAGTGGCACAAAGAAACGACGACGACGACGACGACGACGACGACGACGACGACGACAACAACAACAACGACAACTGCGATAGAAAATCATATACAAAAATTTCTCAGCTCAACAGTTACAGCACCACCATCAACGCATTAAATGTGATGAATTGATCAGCATACCGTTGACAACAGCAATTTTGGGGAATTCGTTGTTGTTTTGTTGTTCACTCTCTCTCTCTCTCTCTCTCTATATATCTCGGTGTGTGACATTGTTTTTCGTGTGTGTGTGTCGACAAAATCTTTGATTGTGCATATTTTAAGCCGAGTGTTTTCCTACCATCAACATAACAAATGTTTATTTTATGTTATTTGAAGTCAAGCAGTTTCCACATCCACATAGTTCCATGTTATTTAGTGTAAGTGTGAGTGTATGTATGTGCAGCGAGAGTGCAGCAGTTCAATTTGATCAATGTGTGCATCCTTTACTCTCGTCTCATGCGCTTTTTTTCTCTCTCTCTCTCGTTGCAATTGCTAATTAATTTACAATACCACCAATAACATTATCAAAGTGCCCTGTATGCCTGTTTCGTTTGTCGTATTGTAAGGCAAAAGTCCAACAACACGCTCTCGGAGAACATAGAAATAAAAAACAGACGGGCCAAAAGACATTTGAGCAAAGACAACAACACAAACACATACACACAACGCCGTCTGGTTCAGTAAATTTTTTTGGCTATTGCCAAAAGAAGAATAAAAACGAAAGAAACAAAACGTAGTATGAAAACCTATCGTGAGATTGTATGTACAATGTCAACATTTCAACATAATAATCAACCAAAACGAATTTGAGAAAGACCAAGACAATTTTATGCACTTTAACCGAAAGTTTCATTCCGAATTTACTGCCGTGTCTTGTTATCGGACAAATTGAAGTTCCTGTTTGCAAAAATAAATCGAACAAAAAAGAAGAAAAAAGAAAGAAACGTGTGTGCAACACATTCTTCTCGTGTTTATTTCTTTATTATTTTTTTTTTTGTTGTTTTTGTTGTTCCTGTTAATTGGTTTCGGTGTTTCATATTTACACAAAGAATAGAAACTACTAAAAACTTTTTACCATCTTTGGAATACGAATTTAAACGAAATAAACGAACGACGACAAACCGTCGACAGAAAGAGAAAAAGGAAAGAACGAGACACAGTTAAGACACATTTATTGTTTGGGTAAGTGCTTTTTAATAGGATATGAAAATAAAATGTAATTAGAAGTTGTGTCATTTGAGCTGAGATTGTGCCTCTCTTGCCTCCACCTCCACCCCCATCACTACCTTTTCTCTCACTCTCTCTCACTCTCTCTCTCTCTCCTTTCGACGGCAAAATATGAGAATGCACAAAGAAAAACACAATTCTCGGTTTCGGCATCAGCGTTTTGTCGTAAGCGACTCAAGGAATTAGTAACTTTAATTAAGCGCAGCAGTTAGTTTTTCGATGGTAGAAAGGCACAAAATACCAGAAGAAAAAACACAACAAACACACAAAGAACGAAACAAACGGAACGATACCGTATTTGAGCTAAATATTCAAATCCAATTTCACGCTGCACCTATTTTACTTAATACACCTATTACTTTTGTTTTCTCTCCCTCACCTTTGTGCCTCATCCCATTCAATCGCGCGTCCACCATCATTTTCATACGCACGACACACACACACACACACACACACACACACATACACAGCACAGCATGTATTATTGTATTTCCTTTCGGGTAGAAACGTGGTTACCACCAGAGCCAAAAAAAACAAAACACTTTCAAATGCCATGCCTAATGGAGTGTGTGTGTGTACCAAAAGAATCGATTGACACACCATGTTGTTCTGTATGTAGATCAGAAAATGCCGATTTCCAGTTGAAAAAAAAAAAGAAGAGCGAACGTGTTGAACCGAATAACAACAACGTGAAAAATGTAAAATAGATTGTGCACAACCAATTTCCATTTATTTAGCGATGAATTTCAAATGAAATCAGTTGTCCCGAGCTTTACAAGCCGCACATTTTTCGTATATGTAAATCAGCGTTAATAATTTGACGAATTCATGCGAATGGCTTTCTTGTTGTTTATTACTGTTATTGGCTGTTGTTGTTGTTGGTATTTTATGAAGGATTGGTGTGCTATAAGCGGGAGACGGGGCCTCTCACCGGAATGCAATCAATTGCGGCTGGCGTCGCACGAAATTATGCGTTCGCAAACGCATTTACACACGCGAATCCATTTAGAAGAAGCAAAAAAAAAATCCCCCATGCTACATATACAAACAGACACATAGACTCTCATTGTCGGGCAATACCACACACGGGCCACACGGCTCGGTGTTGTTGGAATTGATACAAAATATGGCCATTTGATAAGTGAAACGCCTACGCAAATTTCATTTATTCACTGGCAAAATGAATGAAAAAACTATTGAACAACAGCTACAATGACGACAAAAGCCGTTTGTCGTTTATGCCATTGGCGTACACGTTTTGTATGCCGTTATTGTTATTGTTGTGTTTCGTTTTTTTTTTCTTGCAATCGGGTTGCGACTCGGTTTTTTCTCTCTCTCTCTCTCTGCTATATGCTTGTTCACGTTTATATTAAATAATATATTATCTTGTTCAGAGTGATTAGAAATTATGGCAAAACGAAATGTTATTAGTGCCATGGATTGGCCGAGTTGAAAAGCGTTCACGAACGCCAAAAGCGTTTTATCGAACATAGATATCATTTTCACAGCGTGCGAGTGAGTGAGTGAGAGAGTGAAATCGAGTACGAGCGAGAGAAAATGATGAAAAAAATGAAACAAATGTTTGTATTTTAAGCAAATAAAATGATTCGACCGCAGACATTGCAATGGCTTACAGGTCAATCGAACGTTCTGTTTTCGACATTTTCGGAAACACCCGAAAGCGGTTGGAAATTTTCGGCAGAAATCGATCGAAATCTTAAACACCGTTTTAAAATCAAATATTCATTCAAATGAAATATCCGCTTAAGCTTCCGTAGATTCGATACACAAAATCGACAAAATATATCAAATTTATAGCGCAAAACCGATGGCTGACTAGCTGCTTGGAATGCCGCATTCTTCTTTTATCTCTCTCTCTCTCTCTCCCTCTCACATGCTACTATCATTTTGTGAACATTAAACCGTACATGAACCACTTTATCTTGAAACGCGGTTGAGTTGACTCTCATATCAGTATCAATATAATATAGTTTGTATTGGTTTTCTCTTTCTCTCTCCCTTTCTATCGGTTCGTATCGAAATATCATCATCGAATTGTGTGTGCGTGCGTTTGTACGGTATGGTAAAATGTGGAGCATTGCGCTTCAATGACATCCTTTTGCAGTGATCGGACGCTTATTGTTTCATGCCACATGCACACAAAATATAATTATATTCCATTTTGTAGCGCAGTGGCAGTTTCATCTCTTCCGTCGTCCGATTGCATTATTGCATTCACCTTGTGCTTTGTCGCTGATTTACTGTTTACATTTGAACATTTCAATGAAACTCATGCTTTTCGGGTGGCATCAAACCAGAAAATGAAAAATATAAGCAATACGACCACTGCCGTAGTTATCGTCATCATCGTCATGGGGTCTTACACACACACACACACACACACACACACACACAAACAAATTCATATCAAACCATTGTTCCAAAAAATTGTGTTGCATTTTGAGATTATTTAATCGGTTTTTTCCGTTTGGTATTTCTGCCTTCAGAATCTAAAAATAGCAGCGAAAATGTGGATGTGAGAACGAAAGAAAGAATTACCGTTTGCTCTGGAACACACCAGGCCAACATTGAACTCTTACAACTTAAATGTGAAGTTCATATAATAAAATCATATCCAAAAATATACAAAACCCAAAACCAAGAAAGAAGAAGCAAAAAAACAACAACAAAATTCCGACGAAACAACAAACGGGCACAAGCAATTAAATGCTTACACAGTTTCTATTTGTGTAAATAATTGAAACGGGCCACATTTGAAGTGCACATACGATCTCACATATCTCTCGCGCGTCGGAGAAAGAGAAAAATGTGTGTTCGTCGGCTGCCAAAGAAAGAGAAATTTGTTGGAAGAAAGCGTTCGCGAGCTCAGTGCGAAGGAGAGAAAATGAATACAACAGAAAACAGAGGAAAAAAACACACAACAACCATACGATTCAAAGAAACGAAGTAGAGAGAAGCAAAAATAAAATAGTATAGCCCAACAACAAAATGTTGAATGTATGTCTGGTGAGCGACGATTATCGCGCGCCAACCATGAGACTCCAGTATATATAACTCTTTAATGTTTTATTTGACTATTGTCGCCGTTAAACAGATTTCTGCTATTCATCTCGTGCATGCACATGGACACACACACACATACACCAACCATTTCGGGGATATTTGAACAGTTGGCCCAATCGAGACATTTATACATACATGCCATAGATATAGCGACGGAATTTTCATCTGACTGTTTTTAACCATGCCACTTGAAAAAAAAAATTTTTCAATGGACAACCAACTGGATGGAGTGTCACGCTGCTTTTTCGCTTCTTTGAATGATTTAATAAAGTCAATTAATGGGCTCGCTCTCTCTCTCCCAACCGAAAATTTCCTCATTTGACTGAAAAATGGGATTTGCTGTTGCTATTGCTTCTGTTACTCATCCTACTGCTGCTGCCGCTGCTCCTACTCCAACTTCTGCTGGAATGATAAAAACAGCCCATCATCATTCACATAGATAATCGATTTTCTCTAAAAATATACACGACGATTTTCGTAATATCGTTACATTTGCATGCCATCGACAACGATGCGACAACAGTAACGACGATGACGAACGATAACCAAATTCAATTCTAGCGTGAACGATTCGGCTGTATCCTGTTTGTGGGCTGGGCATATCAATGCGAGCGCGCACATGTATGCGATATATTCGTTCAAGTGAGAGATATTTTTTTCCATTTTCCATGGAAATGCTATTTTTGGATTTGATTTCTCAAATTGAAAATGGTATTCGTCACATTGCACAGACACTTTGCCGAAGTAATAGCAGCAGCAATAGCACAAGCAACAGTAGATTTAGTAGCAACAACAAGCCGTCAGCCACTTTTTTTGATTTCAAACTCGTTCAGTTGGCTGACTGACGACCAACCGATTCCATTTGATCAGTGCTCTTCACCCGTTGCTTGTTCCTTGAATTTCTTGCTCGCAATGAAAAATAAAACAATGCGGAGTTTGTGGTTGCAATTAGCAGACAATTTTTCTCTCTCTTTCTCTCTCTCTCTCTCTCTCTCTATTCCAGCTGTGAACTCGTTTCACAAATGGCAATTAAGTTGAAAATTGTAGATAAACAGATGAATGTTGTGCACGAAATCAATAATGGCACGATGCACTCGAATTGCTAAACTCATTTGATTTATGTGCTGCTTGTTTTATCGATTAAAATTCGTTAGATATACAGTCATGGACAAAATTGAGCGTACGCCTATAAATTTTGCGTTTTATTTTTTCCAGTAACTTTTCATCTCAAATGTAATATATCAATGGGAAGTACATAAAAAATCAATAATATTGGCAATTTTGAACATCTAAATTGGCCGGCCAATAGGCGGCTTATGGCTCTCGGTAAAAATGGCCAAAAATTCAAGCCTTTTTCTCCAGCCGTTCGATTTAAAAAGTTTAAATGCAGTTTTGAAGGCCTTCAGGAGCAGATACTTTTAAACGCTGAAAACTTTCGGATCGGCTTCAATTTGGGCAAGTTATGGCCGTTTGAAAACCCAAAAAAAATTTGACGAAAATTTTCGTACGCCTATAACTTGGTTAAATTGTAACCGATTTCTATGTTTTATACTATTAAAATTATCTTCATTAAATGGGCTTTCCAACGACATATGACATTTCGCAATCAAACGCTTGGTTTAATTTTTCGAAAAAAATCGGCCATTTTTCCAACGGCCATAACTTGGCCAAATTGAAACCAATCAGAAAGTTTTCAGCGTTTAAAAGTATCTGCTCCTGAAGGCCTTCGAAACTGCATTTAAACTTTTTAAATCGAACGGCTGGGGAATTGAATTTTTGGCCGTTTTTACCGAGGGCCATAAGCCGCCTATTGGCCGGCCAATTTTGATGTTCAAAATTGCCAATGTTATTCATTTTTCATGTACTTCCCA